GATTTTGGCCATTGACAATACAATGGGATGGTAGTTTGTCAACATCTTAGAAGGTGACAGGTTTACCACCTCTGCTTCAAATTGTGTAGATTTATATTGTGGAACAGAGGACACTGAGCAGGAATTGCCAAAGAAGAATGAGATTTTCATGATATATACAGTTTTTTCATTTTTTGCCCTAGGCTGACATGTTTAATAAAAAACATGTTAAAATGTCTCTTTTGGCAGTGCTTCTTAAACTGCCCCCACTTACCCCCTTCCCCAAAGTGCAACAGGATCTGGTACAGCGTTTGTACCTATTGGCTCCAGTTGTTTCTTTCTTTCTTGGAAATTTTATAAGGACTGGTAGCAGATATTTGAGGGAGTAGTTTGAGGCCACGGGACCCACCTCCCCCCACCCCCCCACACACACACACTTTGAATACCATTATGCAGAAAATTCTGCGGCATATTCTGGATTGTACACAGATGGGCCTGTTAGGCTTCACTCCTTTTTTCTCTCCTGAGGGTGTATCTTGGAATTTTGAATGACAAAATGATGGTTGTGGGATTCTGAGAGTTGTAGTCCAAATGATGTGCCCCTCTCAGGTTCTTCTGAAATGCACATATCATTTCCCTGTAGTACATCTGTAGATATAGGTAAAGATGTGTGATGGTGGATAAGCAGTCTTAACTACCATTAATTTTTCTGTAGTATTTTCAGATTATGTCCTGGATAACTTTGGAGCCCCTGAAGATGATGTTCTCCAGGACAACGTTTGAAAATGCAGCTTCACTTTTTCACTTTGGGCCTCCTGTCCAAGTTACATCCTCTTTTCAGTACCTCTATAATTCATCCCATCAGAAATAATAGGTTGCACTATTATACTCAGTTTCACATATCAATGCAAATGCTCTCCAGGACAATATCTGAAAATGCAGCTTCACTTTTTCACTTTGAGCCTGCTATCCAAGTTACACCCTCTTCTCGGTACCTCTATAATTCATCCCATTGGAAATAATACTATTATCTTCAGTTTCACATATCCATGCAAAGTCTGGGAGAATATTCTCCACAGATATGGGGGGGTGGGGGAGGATCATATTGTATATTGATCTTTGTGAATCTTTTCACTGACTTGCTCTGTTTCACTTCTAATAACAAAATCTTCACCTCGTAACAAAAAGATTTTTGGAGCCTATGATGACAAACTCTGGCATGGATGTGTAGCAGGAATAAGGGGCTGAAGGCCAAGGGACTAATTGCCTGAAACTGTTTTTAACCAACTGCATGCCTCCTATTGTGCCACTGATGTTAAAATGTATGGCTTCATTTTACAAAGACCTGTCAGCGTCTTTTACAATGGCTTCACTCTCTCTTTCTGCCTGTTACATATTTCCCGTCCTACCTGTGCAGCTGTCACACCTAAATTGTGCAGCTATAACTCATCATCTAGTTTTCTCAGTCTTTTACTGCCATGTACCAGTAAATCAGAAGGGCTGGTGTCATATCTTCAGGCTTCAAGCTGCTGCTATAAGTGTGGCTCATGTTTTGTCTGATAGAGCAAAATACAACTTGCTTCTATAAGAAACAAAAGAAATGCACTTGCAAGTTCCATTATGGAGCATCTCAAGCTTGCTGGGAAATAATCACTCCATATTGAAAGAGAGCACTAAAATATGTGGTGTTCCTTCAGTTATCATTGGTGAGAGGGTGATTCTCCCCAATGCTTCTTCTTCATCCTGGAAAGAAGTAACGAGCGGAGTGCCACGGGGTTCCATCCTGGGCCCGGTCCTGTTCAACATCCTTATTAATAACTTAGATGAAGGGTTAGAAGGCATGATCATCAACTTTGCAGACAAAGCCAAATTGGGAGGCCAATACTCCAGAAGACAGGAGCAGAATTCAAAACGATCTTAACAGATTAGAGAGATGGGCCAAAACTAACAAAATGAAGTTGAACAGGGACAAATGCAAGATACTCCACTTTGGCAGAAAAAATGAAATGCAAAGATACAGAATGGGGGACACCTGGCTTGAGAGCAGTACGTGTGAAAAAGATCTTGGAGTCCTCGTGGACAACAGGTTAAACATGAGCCAACAATGTGATGCGGTGGCAAAAAAAAGCCAATGGGATTTTGGCCTGCGTCAATAGGAGCATAGTGTCTAGATCTAGGGAAGTCATGCTACCCCTCTATTCTGCCTTGTTTAGACCACACCTGGAATATTGTTCTAATTCTGGGCTCCACAATTGAAGAGAGATATTGACAAGCTGGAATGTGTCCAGAGGAGGGCAACTAAAATGATCAAGGGCCTGGAGAACAAGCCTTATGAGGAGTGGCTTAAAGAGCTGGTCATGTTTAGCCTGAAGAAGAGATGGCTGAGAGGAGACATGATAGCCATGTATAAGCATGTGAGAGGAAGTCATAGGGTGGAGGGAGCAAGCTTGTTTTCTGCTGCCCTGGAGAGTAGGATGTGGAGCAATGGCTTCAAACTACAAGATAGGAGATTCCATCTCAAAATTAGGAAGAACTTCCTGACTGTGAGAGCTGTTCAGCAGTGGAACTCTCTACCCCGGAGTGTGGTAGGATGTCCGACGTCACCTGAATTTTGGGTTGGATTTAGTTGGTTCAAGTTAATTTCTAGGCCTGATTCTCTAGGATCTTTTTGTCTCCTGAATCAACACATATATAATAGTATAAACTTTGAACTTAGTTGGTATGTCATGTAATGATATAGCCTGGTTTCATATCATGAGTTAGTAATCAGTAATGTTAGAATGTAAAGATTGGACTGAATATTAGGCTCACAATTCTTTTTGCCAAAAGTGTGTATCATTGAGCTTAGCTTAATCATGTAACCTGTCTGTTCATCTCTCAAACCTTCCACAAAAGAGCTAGAATAGGTCAAACACCATATTAAGTAACTTTCCCATGAGCACATATTCCTGCAAGCACAGGATTCCATGCTGGCAATTCACAGATGAGTTGACGGTGATGAAATGTCAAGTGATGTTGATGGATGTGCGAATGAGCTTTGGCTGACACTTTACATCATGGGCCTAAATGTGACACCGTTGTTATCAGAATATCTTGGGTATTTGGTTTTCATCTCACAGGTGTAACAGCAGTGTAAGCAACCTAGTTTAGGGTAATAAACCTGCTTATCACATCTGACACCTAGGCATTTTGAGACCCCGTCATTTCAAGTTGAGGTACATGTACATGCTACTTGGTGGGCTTATTCTACAACTACTTGTGCTACAAATTTCTTTCTCTCTGTTAGTATCAAAAGTGGTACAATATCCCTTTGCATACTGTTCCAGGCAAATACAGCTATGTTTTTGACTTCTATCACAGGTAGCTCTTGTCTAGCACAACATTCTTTTCCTGTGTAGGTGTAATTTTATGGCTCTAAACTGTCAAACATACTTCTGAGTTTCTAATGCTTTGGAATGAAAGAGCATTTTTGAGAACAGCTACTCAGGCAGGAAGCAAATTATTGTTCTGGTCGAAATTTTCACATATGCCATGAACTGGTGCTTTCCAAACATTTTGGACTATAGTTCCCATAATTCTTGATAATTGGCAACCCTGGCAGGAGCTTGTGGGATATGGTATCCAAAGAATCTGAAGGGCACCAGTTCATATGCCTCTGAAAATTGTTATGTAGTTCTCTCTGGGGAAAGTGGGGTATATGAAAACAAAGAATTGATTTACTTGGGAGACAGATCTAACCACCATAAAACTTCCTTGTTGGTATTCTTGCAGCCATTGGATCATCCAAAAATCAACTGAAAAAGAGATCTGTGAATGATTGAAAGTCTCCTCTATTATTATTATTATTATTATTATTATTATTATTATTATTATTTGTTGTTGTTGTTGTTGTCGTCGTTGTCGTTGTTGTCGTGGGAGTGCAACAGGAGACTGGATTCCAGTCAATTTTGAGCAATGAAGCTAAGCTGTGGGAGTTGGGGAGTTATTTTGAAGCATAAGTGTGGCAGGTAGTCTTTTGAAGCATAAGTGTATCATAAGCATAAGTGTAAGCATAAGTGAGGCAGTTAATGGGCAAACCATTAAAAACAACAACAATAACAACAACAACTTTATTCCTACACCCTGCCAAAATCTCCCCAAAGGGACTCAGGGTGGCTTAAGAATGGGACAAAATGCCCATAGACACAAATACAAAAGAAGCCATCAAAGCAAAAACATTAATTAAAATAAAAAATAGTTAAATAAGTAACATAATAAATGTAATAAAAATAATAATAGAGTAAAATAATGGAAACGTAATCATAGGAACAATAGAATAAAATAGTAAATGTAATAATAAAAATAGAGTAGAATAATAAATGTAATAATAAAATGTAAGAGTATAAAACAGCAGCATTAAAACTCAGTCTAAACAATACTCAACAAAACCAATTGTCAGTAGTACAAGGGGCAAAAGAATTAAATGTGGGAGTTTGTAGGCCACTAAAGGGATTGGGGTCCTATATGTATCCCATGGGCTGCACTTTCCCAATCTAATCTATTGCATTAGGTATCATCTCCAAAACCTTCTCAATGCAGTCTTGGACAGAAGAAAATTTCTCTTTTAAAACGGTATTAGCTACCACTGTTTTTGAGAAAATACTATTAGTAACCACCATGTTTTTTAATAAACTTGATAGGCAATCTACTACGCTATCATTTGGAATAGACTCTTTAACCTATTGGGATGCTCTTAAATAATTAATTTAGCCAGTTAATTGACTAAATGTATCATGATGAATAGTTTGTGTGTGATGATAACAGGAGGTAGAAAGCACAAAATGACCTCGTCACCGCTCCTTCAACCAAAGTAAGGGGTGAGTGAGTGAAAAAGTCAAAGTGCTGACATTATTTCTTTCCTCCTCTGAATGTACTGGTTTCCCACTCAAAATGGTCTGCAGCTGCTAACCTGATTGTATTGTAAAGCTCTATGAAATGCTGGGAATGGCTTTCTTTAAACATGTCACTTGCTTCCTTTTTAGCCTCCTCGATTCTGAAGAGGGAGAAACGGAAGAGGACCAAAAATGTCCACTTTAACTGTGTTACCGTCTACTACTTTACGAGAAGGCAAGGGTTCACGAGCGTCCCCAGCCAAGGAGGGAGCACCCTGGGCATGTCCACCCGGCACAACAGCGTGCGCCAGTACAGCCTGGGGGAGTTTGCCATGGAACAAGAAAGGCTTCACCGGGAGATGTTACGAGAGCATCTCCGGGAGGAGAAACTGAATTCTTTAAAACTTAAGGTAAAAACAGGGCAAAATATATCTCCTCTTGATGGCATGAGCGGGAACAGTCAACTTGGCTCTTCATGGCTTTGGCAAGGTTGCACTGCCACTTCCCGAATGTCTGTAATTCAGTTGTCCCAACCAAGCTGGCATTTTTCCTATTTTGCACATTAAGTTGGCAGATTTTTAACAGGGTTCCACCGGAGCTCTTTAAGACAACAGCTTACTTCCTGCTAGGCAGATATTATGGCAATTTGTTCCAGCCCATTGAAGCTACCATTTTAAATGTTGATTAAAGACAGCTAAGCAAGCTGCTAGGTGTGGAGTGCTCTGTGCAAGAGATTTTGGCCTGTTGTTAAGGAAGTACTTTCTGTCTCTTTGAGTCATCATAATATGGAATCAAGCTGCCAAGGAAGATATAATTAGGTGTACTTGTTCTCTACAAAATTATTTTGTGGCTTTTTTTTTTTGCTCTGAACTCAAACTTTTCCTACAAAGTTTTGCTTTAAGCAAATTGTTCACAAAAAAATTCCTCTCACTACAAAATATCCCACAGCAGTTCACCATTTTCTTGCTGGGATACCTCAGTGTGTTGAGATACAAATTTTCACTGAGGATGAGAATAAATATTAAGTATCCCTTATCTAAATCCCTGGGAACAGAAATATTTTAGACTTTAATCTTTTCAGATTTTACAATATTTGTAAGTCGCTCCAGTTAGTAACCTGGCTGCCGCCTGTTGTACCAATTGAAATTTCCGAGCTGTCTTCAAGGGCAGCCCCACATAGAGTGAATTGCAGTAATCCAATCTGGAGGTGACTAAGGCATGGACCACCATGGTCAGATCCGACTTACACTGTCTGATACATATTTTTGTGCCTCAAGTGTTTTTGGGTATATTTGACCAGCTGATTCCAAAAATTTGTTAGGCTGTGTTACGATTGTGTACTGTATACTATAATTTTAGAATTGGCAGTGAAAGATGGTCTTTTTCAAGATACTCTGTTCTATTCCTTCCTCGGGAAAAACTGATGAGCATGTTGTGCCATGCTTTATCATTCATTGACTGTTTTGGGGTCCTCTGTTCCCTTAGTCTGCCGTTAAAGATGTGTGTCTCTTGATCCTCTTAAAAATTCTCTCATGTGGGGGAAATGCAGCTAACACACATTCCTTCCTTACATGTTTACTATGCTCTCTTTTAAAATGATGGCAAACAGCTCTAGTGGATGGAAGAATTGGCATTGGGTCTTCTCCCACCGAAGGCAATGTCACTCAGAATCACTGAGGTGTGGATGATGCCTGCATCTATTTTTCTTTCCCCTCTCTCCTCCCCTTCTATGCTCTTTCTCTTTGCTTAGCAGTATTTTCCATCGTGGGTAATTCATAGTGCTCTGGAAAGTGATGCTCCATCATTCAGGAAATAATTTAATTCCAGATGCTGCTTGATCCCTTCAGCTAAGCTCTGATAGCCCAGCAAACAGAAAGGGAATCCTCTCCGCCTGAGATGGTGAACAGTCTTTCCAGTTATGAACAGTGAAATCACTCCAAAGGTTGAGGAAAGCTGTAAAGCTGATAGCCATCTATGTAATCCCCGAGTTGATGTAAACATGAGATGTTCCATGATGATATCTGCAGGGCCATGCCTACATTTGAATGAATATTTTCTCATGGGGAATGTATGTTTAGTATCAGCTGGCATATCCTAGAACTGAATATGGATATTTTCCAATTTGCCAGCACAAGAACAAAAGTCCTTCCAGGATGTAGGTTTTTATTTTATTATTTTTATTTGTGAATGAAATAATAATTTCATGTATCACGAGCCTCTTGATATTTCTGCCAACATGAACATAAGTCGCAAATTGAAATGAGAAGAACCATGTAGCCTGTCTGGATTTTAGATCATGGCTGGTTTCAAAGAAAATTTTCGCCAGTGCCCAAGGTAGATCTTAATAAGTCATAATGGTTGGGTTGGAGCCATAATCTTTCTTGTAATCAAGCCCTCTTGAAATAATGACAAACAGGCAAATAGGATCAATTAATGTTTGTCAATATTTTAAGAGGGCTTGATTACAAGAAAGATTATGGCTCCAACCAGGCATGTAACCGGGGGGGGGGGCTTGAGGGGGCTTCACCCCCCCCCCCCCAATTCTCAGGGTGGTCCACAAGAAGGCCCTACTGGTACATTATTTAAATTGTTATGTTTATTCATATCATGATCTGATCAACATACTCAATATATCCCATATGGGGGTATTGGGATAATGATACAAAAGTTTTGCTAGGGTAGATCCTCACCCCCCCCCCCCGAATCAAACTCAGCACCCCCCAAATCAAAATCCTGGCTACGGGCCTGGCTCCAACCCAACCATTATGACTTATTAAGATCTACCTTTGACACTGGGGTAAATTTTCTTTGAAACCAGTCATGATCTAAAAATCCAGACAGCCCTTCCACACAGCTGCATAAAATCCACATTGAACTGGATTATTTGTGGACCCGGATAATCCAATTCAACGCAGATATTGTGGATTATCTGCCTTGATATTCTGGGTTATATGGCTATGTGGAAGGGCTTTCAGAAGCAGTAGGGTGAGAGGGACAACTGTCTACACCTAACAAGGAGATGACAGTTGCATTGACTTGCCGATTACCTGTTTGAAAGAAGGGGAAGACTTTGGGCACACACACATATATGCACACACACAGCTTCTCTTAACAGAAATGATCATTGTATAATAAGTAAAAGCAAATATAGTAAGACTCCTGCAATTTTAGAACCCATATCTGTAATTTCATTTAGCTATGGGGAAAAATTGTTTTTCTCTAGGCTTTAATACTATGGTATGCTGAAACTCAAAGTTGTTTGTTTTAATGGGGTTCTAAATTCTCCATGTTTTTCAGTAAACATGGTCCATCTGGGAACATATCCCCCACGAATATGGTAATCTTACTGTATTGAAACTATGCTAAAGTATCTTTCCTGTTAAAAGTGAAGATATTAATATCCAAAACCCAAACCAGAAAGATATGCAGAGCCCTAAACAGTCCCCTCCAAACCCATATCCCATGCTGGTAGCATATTTGTCCACATTGGCTACAATGTTTTCTTTCCTACAGACTTGTAAAGGATTGGTAACCAATCACTTAGGGACTAGCCCTGGCCCACAAACTAGTCACTTCTTGATTGGTAGACGAACACATCCTCATTAATTGTAGTGGCTGATCCCCACTGAGATTTGGGGGATTTGGCTGGAGATACTATATAGCTATATAACTAAGGTTGTTGTTACATATGTGTAAACATCTTAATGAATTCTGATTCTTTTTTAAAAACTCAAAAAGCTTCCTGGCCTTCTAGTGGGCATGTAGCCTGGGGTGGGGGTGGGGGCTTGAAGGGCTTCAGTCTCCCCCCCCCTCAAAATTCTCAGGATGGCCCGCGAGAAGGCCTTACTGGTACATTATTTAAACTGTTATGTTTATTCATATCATTATCTGATCACCATGCTCAATATATCCCATATGCATGGGGGTATTGGGATAACGATACAAAAGGTTTGCTTGGGTAAATCCTCAGCTCCCCCAAATCAAAATCCTGGCTACGGGCCTGCCTCTCAGCCATTTAAAAACAGGGAAGATCTTTCCCATAAAAACAGACCTAATCACGTCTTGCTTTGGAAAGCGTCTCTGCTGTGATTGACATGGTCTAAAAAAACCCTTTACGGAGAACAGCCATTTGAGATCCTTGAGATGGCTACAAGAATTTGGCAAGTTATCTACCTCCACCCTATGCATTTCCCACTGCCACAGCCACAGTTACCGTCTTTAGGGAGACCCTGCTGTATGGCCAATGGATTTCTGGTTAGCATTAATGTGAACTCAGGATATCTGAATCCTGTACTATGGCACAGTCTCATCATTGCTGTCTGCCAGTCTCCTTATCATTTTGCACATGTTTTGAATATAACTTGTTTATCTGAACATCCCTTAGTCATTAGCTGTTTTGAGCACCTTTAGTACTGAATTAGGTGGGATTGTCTGAAGATTGGAGAGGGCTCCTTCACCTTTCAGGGCCACATATAAGAGGGAATTTTAGTAGGTGTTCCTTGTCACACAACCAGGTAACAAGCAACGTCTGCTGAAATTTCTCTCTTCAGCACAGTCATTAAAGTCACAAAAGCTGTCTCGTGAATCTTGCTCTATTGTTTTACTCTTGTGAATCTTGTTCTGTTGTTTTATAATAAACTGTTCATTGTAATGAGATGTGGGGCACAAAAGCTTTTAAATAATAAAACACTAATAAATAAATTGCTTTGAAGAATAAATTCTCATGCTTCTAGTATGTGAGTCATTTCTCTGAAACTGTTTTCCAAGCTCAAATGTCTCTGCTTGTTAGTGAAGCCCTGACGCTTCTTTACTGCCTGTTTCTTCCAGATGACTAAAAACGGCACGGTGGAATCAGAGGAAGCAAACACTTTGACGTTGGATGACATTTCTGATGATGATATAGATCTCGACAACACGGAAGTTGATGAGTACTTCTTTCTACAACCTCTGCCAACAAAAAAGCGAAGGGCACTCCTGCGAGCCTCTGGAGTCAAGAAGATAGATGTGGAAGAAAAACACGAGCTGCGGGCCATCCGTCTTTCGAGGGAAGACTGTGGCTGTGACTGTCGAGTCTTTTGTGACCCAGAAACTTGTACTTGCAGTCTTGCAGGCATAAAATGCCAGGTGAGAGCTGAACTGGAGTACACTGGGGTGGGGAGTCTGGGAACCAATTTATATTTTCATATATGGAAGCTAGTGTGGGGAACTACAACTTTGGGAGACCACACATCAAAAACTTGCCAGCCAGGGAAACCCCTTGAGTGACCTTGGGCAAAGTCACACTTCCTCAATCTCAGAGAAGGGCGGTGATAAATGGTGCACTGGAACACATGCATAAATGCACACTTTAAAAAAAACTGAAGTGATAAAATTTTAGGAAAGGAAGAGGAGGAGGAGGATATTCCACAAAGCTGGCTATGATGCAAAATAATGCTTAGTACCTACTTGCCAAGCATTAAAAAACAAGCTGTCTTTGAACACATACAAGGACCTCATCACATTGAGGTCCTTGATGTGGGGGACAATGAGGGGGACCCGTAGGGTTGTGTAGTGGGGTGAATCTGTCGCCCAGCACCTTGCATTACGTGCACCACATGCATGCCCATCACACGCCAGAATGTGCAGCTTTTCATCATGTCCCCATGATTCTCCACCTGAACACGGTAGTCTCCTGTGTTCAGGTTTCCCCATCCTACAACATTCCACTGACATAGCCAGCACAGAGCCCTGCTGGAAATAGATATGTGTCATGTGATGAGATGTAGTGGGCTCTGCGCTGACTGTGTGGGTGAATTGTGGTAGGACAGGGAATTTCTTTAATGTGATGAGGTCCTTAGTCTCTGAACTCGTCATCAGAACCAGCGGCAGACTAATTGTCTCCTTTTGCAAATGAAATCCACTCCTTTTCCCAAAGCATTTTTGGGAGAGCAAGTTCTATTATTAGATAACTGGAAACTCTTCTGATTCTACTGCACATCATCAAGATATTTACTAGACGATCTTAAACCTACTAGAAGGAATATGCGGTACATCTATTTAATAGTTTTAAAATGTTTTAATCCACTTTGTGTTCATATTTAATAATGTTAAATGGATTGAATGATCAGTTTTCTGCACTGGGACCATCTAAAATCAGACAACAAACATGTCTACATAATAATAGCATTTATTTTTCACAAAATGGACCTGAATGTCCACTTCAAATTTTGAAAATAAGGGATGCGAGTATTAATGTGGAGGGACTCTGAGATCTATTTGGAGGAAGCTAGAATGAACAGCCATACAGTGTTTTTGCCCCATTGCAATATTTTGGGAGTGATAGTAGCACCCTGTGGGCACTTTTCCTACCTGAATTAATCATGAGTGTTATCTAATAGTGAAAAGCCTGTGGTCCATTTTTTTAAAAAATTCAGAAGTAAATAGTCTTTAAATGGAGTAAATCATCTTCATGCCTATATGACAAATAGTTGATGTTATTCTGCTGTGGCATTAGCACAGCATTGCAAATTCATATTTCTTATATGGAGCCCCTGGTGGTGTAGTGGGTTAAGCCCTTGTGTCGGCAGGACTGCTGATTGACAGGTCAGCAGTTCAAATCTGGGGAGAGTGGGGTGAGCCCCCATCTGTCAGCTTCAGCTTCCCATGCAGGGACATGAGAGAAACCTTCCACAGGATAGTAAAACATCTGGGTATCCCCTAGGCAATGTCCTTGCAGATGGCCAATTCTTGCACACCAGAAGTGACTTGCAATTTCTCAAGTCACTCCTGGCATGAAAAAAAATGGCTGTTGTAAGTGTAATTTCCTCAGCAGTTAAGCACTTGACTGAAGATTCAGGGATCAAATAACACACCTCAACAATCCTGACCTCTGGCATAATTGTTACCTCCTCCAACACATACATAGTAAAATTTTATCTCAGCATACACAGTAGGTTTTCAGATAATCCTAAATCGGACAGCTGATTTTGGTTTCAGATGGTGAGCCTTGATGAGACTGAAACAAAAATGTCAGTTAGCAACAATTAGACCCTGTATATTTAAAAAGTGTGTATTGAAAGGGGCCTCTAATTTCTCTCCAAAGTCACCAACCCTTACATCTGTACTGCTCCCAGTATCTTTAATAGAGGCTTTGAGTTTGATGTTCTTCATTTTTGATGGATCTCTTTTTTGAATATATTTCAGCCCAAAAAATAAAATAAAAAAGATGACCCAGAAGGTTTTTACTGGTGCAATTAATCTTGCTGAAATTCCTTGGTTTGTCAGTTTCTTCCTTATCAAAATTATGCAATTTGCTTGTTCCCACCCTCCCATTTTCAGACATGCATTTATTCCATGTTTTCTCTTCTTAAGGTGGATCGTATGTCATTCCCGTGTGGTTGCACTAAAGAAGGATGTAGCAATACGGCAGGCAGAATAGAATTTAATCCCATCCGTGTTCGGACTCACTTTTTGCACACTATAATGAAACTTGAATTGGAGAAAAACAGAGAGCAGCAAGTCCCTGCACTGAACGGGTGCCACGGTGAGATCAGTGCTCATAGCAGTTCAATGGGCCCCGCAACCCACCCACTGGAATATTCAGTCCCAGACAACTTTGAAATTGAAGCAGAACCTCGAGGGACTGTGATGCACTTGCAGTCGGTTGATGATTTGGGATGCCCAGGAGAGGAGGAGGAAGAAGAGGAGGAAGATGCGAGCAGTTTTTGTAGTGGAGTCACAGATTCCAGCACACAGAGTTTAGCACCCAGTGAAACAGATGAAGATGAGGAGGAGGAGGAAGAGGATGAAGAGGATGACGAAGATGAGGAGGATGAGGATGAAGAAGAGAAGGTGGATGACTTTGTGGAAGGGTTGGGTGCTCACGCTGATATGGTTCAAGCACTTCCTTCTGTCCTTTGCTATTCTGACAGCACTGCCATGCATGAAAACCATTCGAAGGCAACCTCCTACTACACAAATGCTTCTTCACTTTATTACCAAATAGAGAACCACAACCCTGGCACTCCTAATCAGATTCGTGAGACTTACTCTGAAAGGGACGCTGTTAAAAATGGTAATATTTCTCTGGTGCCTTACAACCCAACGTCAGAACAGTTAGTGGACTATACGCGGCAATCAGAGGAAAATTACAGCAGTTCACTTTATCCATCTTCAAATCCATCTGTCATAGTATGCTGCTCTTCTTCAGAAAGCGACAATGCTATTCCATGTAGTAGTTTGTACACTGAGCATAGGCCGAGGCACTCCCAAGTGGACTTTCCCTCATACTTGAAAAGCCCTTCACAAGATGGATTTGTTTCTGCTCTGAACGGTGGTGCTCACCTCCCAGAGCATCCCACCGAGAATTCACTTAGCCTTTCGGAAAAGAGCAGACTGCATGAAGAGTGTATCAAATCACCTGTCATGGAAACAGTACCTGTTTAAATTATTTTAGGACTGAATCCCTTCTATTTAAATGCACTCTGTTGTAACTGGATTCCTTGGAATTTTCTTCTTTTTTTACGCCGTGGAGACAAAGGGACAGATTCTGATTAACATTTTTTGTTTCCTTATTTCAAGCTATATTGGCTTAGCCATTGCACAAAAAAAAAAAAAAGGTTAGTGTACAAAGTAAACTGTAAAATGGGGAAATCAAATGGTCTTTTGATACAAAATACCTAGATTTTAAAAAACGGAATACAACAAAACAAACAAGTTTTTCGTTTTCTTGTCAGGTTCCATGCAAGATAATGAAAGTTTTACTTTGGAATCCTCATGTTTAGAGTTCTAAATTTTCACATCTATTTGAAGATGGTGAATTTTTAAATGTCGATGTAATTAATTACAGAAAACCCACAACTACCCTGAATTGTTCAGTAATGTATATTTTTTATTTAGGTAGCTTTGTATTCCTGTCTTGAGAAATTGGAGCTGAACATTTGAGCAGAACAGCACAGCCACTTCAAATTGTGTTAGGCAGACTATGTTTCTCTTTTGTGATGGTGTTTAAAGTTGACATGGAGTTACATTTCTTTGATCTGTCCTGGAGTCAATTTATAGGTGGAACCTAAAGATCTAAGTGGAAGAACAATTGGTTGGGCACATTTCATTTATTTCAGTTTGCACGGAGGCCTTGTTGGTGCATCAACAAAATCTCCCCAGAATGAAATGAAGGATGGGCATCAGCCCTGTTTGTTTAAATTAATCTGATAGGTGTGAATGTTTTCTAGAAAATTGAAATGTTAGACAATCCTCAGATTTTTTAAAAAAGTTGCCAACACAACCAGGAAGTTGAGCAGAATTCAGCCAAATTTAACTAATTGGGATTGGCTCATGTGGTTTGTTATTTTATTTTAGCTTTTCACCACTCCATCTTCTTTCCAGAAGCTCCCAAGGAAATGAACAATGTGAAACATCCAGCTACTTTTCATATCCTCCCCAACATGCAGGGATTTTCTGCCATCACCCATACCATACAGCACCTTTTTCATCTGCAGAAAGCTGTTTTTACCGGACAGTTATGTATACAATTCAAAGAAGGACCCCAATTAGGCCTTGTACCTTAGTGGAGCACTTTCTGTTTTTCTATGGCTGCTTCTTTACACAGCTTTGGTAATATGTACAATTGGGAGCCCTCACAATATCTCCATTGACTTGCTTCTATTTCTGTTGATTGCATTTCTAAGCAGCTCAGGACTGAATACATGGATCTCCCTACCTCAAATGCAAATTGATCTTCATGACAACTCTATGAGATAGTTGAAAGACAAATGGCCCACTTTTATTTTGTGGGATTTGTGTCTTAACTGAGGTTGTACTGTGTTTTCCTGGTTGTAGGCCAATCCTTTAACCTTGACATTGCACTTGTTCTCAGTTAAATCTTGTGCATTGTCTCTCTCTTACTTACATAGATATTAAACCATGTGCGAAGCTGTCACATGAAAAAGGGTAACATTTCTAAGATAATGTAAACTTAGCCTTATGTTCTGGTGAAATCAATGGGACTACATTAAACTGTAAGTCTTTCATTCTGCTTAGTTGGACTTGTTGCAACTGCACTTTGATGGATTGTACACACTGTGCTCACTTTCAAAAGCAAAATGCTAGTTTTTGCATGCACATCCTTTTGTTGCCCTGCATCTGTACAGCTACTCAATGCACTTTAGTGCTTCCTCTTACTTTTGGGGTTATGAAAAATATCGGAGATGATGTCAGCTTTTGTTCTCATTTTTTAAAAAAAAAAAAATTACATGGGCAGCATGCAAATACTACCAGGAAGAGCTTGTGTAGATTCCCCATGCCAATTACAGAATGCTTCCATCAGCCATTCATAAGAGGAGAGCATTATTCTATTTGTTGAAAAAAGGACAGACTGTGAGTACTTGCAAATGGAAGATGGAGACAGTGTTTGAGGGCATTTAGCCGTTCCCTTCAATGCGAGATGAGATTTCAATAACAGTCTGATACATGCATGAAAGGCTTTGTCTGAAAATTAACATATGTCAACAGCAACATAGGCAGTCCCCAAGTTATGAACAGTCCCCAAGTTATGCAGGTTTGTTCTTAAGTTGAATTTGTATGTAAGTCAGAACAGGTATATTTTTAAGTGTAACTCCAAATACACACACACACAAACTTTGGATAGCATAGAGAAGGGTTAACACCCCTGCGGTGTTTGTTTTGCTCTCTTTGCCCTTTTTCAGAAGATTTTACCTCCTTTACTGTCCCCATGATAATTAGAATTTGAAAAAAAAATGGCTTGTTGTGGAAACAAGGATTGGTGAGATAACTTCAGTGGAGCTCCCTTTTCCCCATGATTACTCTTTCAGGAATGAATTTCCCAAGGGGTAGATTATCTCACTTCCTGTTGTCTCACCCCTGTTCTTAACTTTGAGTCATTTGTAAGTCAGATGTTTGTAACTCTGGGACTGCCTGTATATCCATAAATGACCATTTTTATTTAAGGACTTAAACCAAAACTCCTAGCTGCTGTTATTAATTGACGGATGTACTACTCCAGACATGTGTTCATATGGAACTTTTGCACACATTGTCTTCTCCATTTACTTCATCGGAGAAAACAGATCTGTGTCTGCAAAGGACTGCAGGACAGATCTGTTTCCTTCATTGAAGTCAGTTGGGTATTTCTGCAGGCACCAGAGCACTGCAAACATATTAGAGCATGAGCTCGGGCAGATCCAACTAGAAAACATCAATTTATGATTTCTTATTAGATCACATGAATGATGCCTATATATGGAGTTTGTTTCCAAAATGTTCCAAATTGGAAAAAAAGAGCTAAGGATATGAATCCTTTTGCTACAAAATGCAGATTTCCAAGTCCTATAACAAAGTAATTTGACAGATTTTGATAGTTTTAATTTGTGCATAATATTCTACTCCTAGCCAACTATGTGTTGCCACCTATAGCTCAAATTTCAAGTATTTTTATTTTTATTTATTTTTTTGGATTTAGTATCTTTGAAAACAAACTCAACATGTGGGTAACACAGACAACAAAAAGCTGTCTTCTGGCTTTCCCACTGAATAGCCAAGTCTGAGTTTTTCCTGGTTCAGGTATCACAACTCACAATATATGTACATATATACCTGTTGAAGCTCTACTTTTGCAAAATTACAAATTAATATGTCATCATTTTTAATAATGGCAATGCCCAGTGCTTTGAATGTATCCTTGCTTCTTTAAAGTATAAGATACTACTACTTGTTTGGGTAATTCTACCTTTTTTGGTAAATGCTCAGCCTAGAAACCAATTAGTTAGTGAGGAGGAAGCCCCTTGTGTGGATGAAACAGCTGTGTGGCATGCACAATCCCTTACAGCAGTGGTTCCCAACCTCTGGTTCTCCAGGTGTTTTGGACTTCAACTCCCAGAAATCCCAGCCCTCTTACCAACTGTTAGGAATTGTAGGAGCTGAGGTCCAAAACACCTGGAGAACCAAAGGTTGGGAACCACTGCCTTACAGCCTGGCACTGTGATAAAAAAATAATTAACAAAATCTGTTTTTAATTATAATTAATAGAGTTACCACTTTCTGAGAAATGTTTAGCAGAATTGTATATATCATATTGAAATACATTTTTGGCTCGTGACTGTAGACTGAAGGAAACAATCTTAACTTCAGTTTATTTATTGGTTTCCATTGGGAAATGCACATTTTCTGCCTGCTCCCAGGGAGGGGACATGGCCCGGCTGTCCATCAGTTCAGATTACAAAGAGCCATGTAACTGTATAAAGCCTTAAGCTTTTTTTAAATTCATTTTGTTCATGATTTTGGGTCATCTACCTGCTGGGTCAACATCTGACTCGCAGCCAGGCCCAGAGTTTCTTGGATGTCAGGAGGGAGCTGAGCTTGCTTCCCATTAATTCTCTTGTACTTGACAGCCCTGAGGATTTCTTTCAGACTTATCCTGCTGTCTTCTTTTGGCCATATGTAGCACAATACATGGGAGAGGAAGATGGGATGAACTCCTGTGGCTCGGTTCTTTAAGTGCTGTATTTCCTGCATTGTTACGGTTTTGGTTTTATATCTGTGAACTTACCTCTATGTGCCAAACGGCTTATTGTGACTAAATGGCAAATAACAGTGAATGTGTTTTGTACAAGTTTTGCATGTTATCTTTTCCTTTTCACGGTGGCTGTCTAGGTCACACAGATATTGAAGATGATCCAGCTGAGTGCATCATATACTTGATCCGTTAGTTTTGGATGCTAGTCAGCAAGTGTGAAACACAGCGTCGCTGCTGGAGATATTCATTCTTTCTGCCCACTCATGTCGAATGCAAAATGACCCCACACACATCAAAATTAGCTGGATAGGAAGAAAACCACTGGCAGCACGTTCCTAACCGATCTGAAGAGCATATCTTTATTGACCATTTGAGATGGGCAGATTCTAATGGAATAGTCTTCTAACTCATCTCCCCAGAATTGAATTTGTTTGGGATTGTGAATTGTCACAATCCAGAGGGCCTTGTCATGACCAGGGAGTTCTTCTCACATACAAGGTCATGTAGAGAATGTGGAAAAATCTAAGATGCCTGGTAAACTAAAAGACTACCAAGACCTACAGGGGATTCCATGTTACCACTCTCCTGCTATATCAGTTTATGCTCTTTCTGGGGAAATATTCATAATTGTTTTTTCAATTCAGTATAAAAAATGCGTTGTTTGGGGAAATATATAGTTTGATGCACTCTGAGTAAGATTGACAGTCAACCAGGGGTATACAACATTGATTATGTAATATACATTTGACCTTACTATACGTATGCATTATAGCCATTGCATAAAATTATTATTTTTCTAATGGCCATGTATATAGTACATGAGCCAGTGTTGTGTAGTGGTTGGAGCATTACACTCAAATGTTTGAATTCCTGTTTGGCCATGGAAACCCACCAGGTGACCAGGCAAGCCACATTTTCTCAGCCTCAGAGAAAGGCAAATGTACTAAATGAGACCTTGAGGGTGTGAGGCAATTAGAATAACAAAGCACAACTTTGCTATGAACCTTAAACAAATTGCTTTGTTTCACAGTTATAGGTGCATCTTAGTGTGGAAACAGAAGATTTTTTTTCCTGTGTTAGAAGTGGCTTGAGAAACTGCAAGTTGCTTCTGGTGTGAGAGAATTGGCTGTCTGCAAGGACATTGCCCAGGGGATGACCGGATGTTTGATTTTTTTAAACCATCCTTGTTGGAGGCTTCTCTCATGTCACCACATGGTGATCTGGAGTTGACAGAGGGAGCTCAACCCACCTTCCCCAGATTCGAACCACTGACTTGTCAGTCAGCAGTCCTGCTGGCACAAGGGTTTAACCTACTGCGCCACCGGGGGCTCCAACTGAGAGGATGAAACTAGTGTAAAGTCACATGCATTCTATTCCGTTACTGCAGACACTTAGCATCTTTCGAACTAAATAGTGCAACTTTTAAACCATATTTCAGTATTCAGCAATCCAGATTAAGAAAATATCTGAAGTAGGAGCATACAAATGGCATCAGTCTTTATGTGGAAACTCTCTGCATGATCAGGACCCTGATTTTTCAAGTTTCCAAATAATGCGACCAATCTTATATCTGGCTCTGGCTGTCATTCATATAATCACTCTCCATCTGAGGGAAAAGGCAGGAGAGGGAACAGGATCAGCAACTTTCCCTCCTCATATTTTCAACTACGTTATTTACAGTCTGAAAAGGGCTCTGAAAATTATATTGATCCATCTCTGTGCCATTTTATCGAATGCAATAGCAAGGGGAAAAGAAGGTGCTGAACAGTTAAACCAGGAAGGGCAAAGGTTATCTAGAGCTGGCCTGGAAGCCAGACCTTATACAGTATATACTCCTCAGGTGGAAATTATAGGGCCTGAGTCTTTGGGGAAAACTTTTCACTTACTGGTTTAATATCTAACACCTTACGCCATCATTGGTATTCTATTGCTTGCATTTTCTTCCAGTGGACAAAAGTCTCAATGAAATGTATCTGGAGTTCAGTTCATGAAAACACATGTATAGCGTTCTATGAGCTTTTTACCAGAAATTGAATAATGCATAAATAATGAAAAAGGAGTTGTATCCCCAAGAGCCTGTGTCTTGTCATGAAACCAACCCACTCCTGTTCTTATTTTATTGTTTTAGCTGGTGCAAGAGCTGTTCAGAATCAAAACCATTCATATGTGGAGCACTGTTATTAATCCACATATGCAACACAAAACTTTTGTAGGAATTACGGAGTTTATGTTGAGTGATAAAAAAACTCTATCCACACTGACCATTAAAACACAGAGACTTGTGATCTAGAAAAAACCCTCTTCAAATAATACCTACTGTTGTAAGATTTACAATACTTGCCTTAGACCCCTTCTCCATTTTATACCCTCTGATGTAAAATTCATCAGAAACTTTGTGGTCCAGAATGCTTCTCATTAATGATACATATTTACTGTGGATGAGTAGATTATCTAATAGTTTTCCCAGTCAATTGTTCTTTGGGAATGGGAATAATTGAAAAGAATGATACAAAATTGGTGCAGACACTAATAATTACAGTGATATGTAATCATGAAACAACTATAATAATTTCAGCCAACAACTTTCAGGGCAAATGCACAGACTTCCCTGTTATGAGTCCTATACAAAACTGTTCTTACTCAGTTGTGTACTCAATCATATTCTGAGCAGGACGGTCACAGGCATCAGTCCCTACAGAATTCAAATTTTAGAGGTTGTTGCCCATTTTTATTCCTTCAACATTTTTTTCTACCTCCTTCCTGTCCAAGAAACCTATGAGACAAGAATGTTAACAAAATATACACAGAAATGATAATTGCCATTATTTTGTCCATGTGTTGATTCAATTTCTTTTATCTGCAACCTCACACAAACCAAAATGTCGACAATGAAAATCTTAACCTGATCCTTATGGTGTAATCTTTATTTTAACTATATCCTTCTGTATTTATGTTTTCCGTATTTATGATGAATGACATGTAATTTGATGTATTTATTGTGGCTTATTTCTGCAATGTATATATTAAAAATAAGCATTTATAAGTCTTAAAATTAGGTTATTTTTTTTCTTAGTGGCACTCGTATTATGCTGTATTTTTACTATATATTGTACAATATATATTTATTGTCCATTTGTTTGCAACAAAGTAAATCAGGTTTCTACGTTAAACTGATTATTGTCTCTTTTGTACTGTACTGTGTATGTGTGAAGTACTTAAAATATTCATGTCTTTTTTGTTCATATAAGAACAACTACTTTCACGTCTGGAATTATTTAGACCAGTGGTTCTCATCCTTCCTAATGCCATGACTCTTAATACAGTTCCTCATGTTGTGGTGACCCTCAACCGTAAAATTATTTTGGTTGCTACTTCATAACTGTCATTTTGCTACTGTTATGAATTGTACTATAAAACATCTGATATGTGGGATGTATTTTCATTGTCACTTCTCTTTTTCCCTGGGATTCTCCCTGGGACATCTTTTCTCCCTGGAACGTCACCTCCTCCCTCCGGAGAAGAGTCTTCTGGGAAACGAAGGGGCGGGAAAAAGTTAAGTGATGTCTCGGTTCCTAAGAGCATTGGAAATATGTGTTTTCCAATTATCTTAAGTGATCCATGAAATGTTCATTTGATCCCCAAATGGGTCACGACCCACAGGTTGAGAACCACTGATTTAGACCCATGAACAAAATTATAATAGCAGGGGTGGGCTAGGATTAGGCTGTTATGAATTGAGGGAGTTGAAGTCCAAAACACCTAGAGGACCAAGGTTTGCCCAGGTCTGACCTAGATCTTTCAGATGCTGAGCCAAAAGCCTATTTAACCATTTAGTGAACTTGCAGGGTATTGCAGCCAGACTGAAGGACTGTACTGGTAGTACTTAGTGTTGTAAGACATTTTAAGCATTTTTTTTCAATTATTCTTTCAGACTAGAATATGGAGGTGTGCTTCCAGCAGATCCAGAGGTGAAAGAAAAAGGGACTTTTACTAAACAACACAATGTATTAATTTTATGTGTTTCTTGCTCATGCATTTGTTGAGACATTTATAATCTAGTATGGCTCTGAGACTTCATGTTGAGCAGTAGGGTACAAACAAATGGAATTGACAATTTATAAAAAAAGAATCCCTGTTCCAATTCTTTCAGGGCCCTTCTACACAGCCATATAACCCAGAATTTTAAGGCAGAACATCCCACAATATATGCCTTGAACTGGCTTATCTGAGTCCACACTGCCATATGTTCCAGTCCAAAGCAGATAATGTGGGATTTTATTCAGCTGTGTGGAAGGGGCCTCAGTCTTATTCTTCGGAGGGGAAATGGAAAGAGAGAATTGGAGCAGAACAAGGGATTGTGTTTTTAATCCCTCAATACTTTCCCTTTGAGAGGTGGCAGCTTTTTAACAACAGTACTCCATTTTTGTTGCTTTAGTATTTATTTCCTTTTTGCACCTGCTTGTTGAAGCCATAGATTTAATAGATACCCCTGGGGAAGCCAAGTCATTAAAACAATATAGAAGAAAGATCGGGATCTTTTTACCCTAAAATTGCAGTATAAACGAAGCATTGATTCTGGAGACCTTGGTGCTCTGCAAACTCTGAAATAAGCTGCCATCTTGATAAGCCCATAGTAGTTTCCTGCACATTCCTTGGCAAGAAGTGCTCCCCTCTTTCCTTTCATATTCAAAATTCCTAACCATATGCCTTCAAGCGTAGTTACAATAAGGTTATTTTGGTACAGAGCTAAATTTTTCTTGCATCTCTATCCATCATGATATCTCCTCACTCATCTGAACGTTGTTATGCAATACTAAGGTGCTAGGAAGCCATTTTCAGATATAGTTGGATATGATCTGCCCTCTGCTGGTTGAACAGAAATTTCAAATAAAGTTAAACATAAACAATAGTATAGTTGATACTACTGCCTAAAATTAGCCAGTTAAGTTACAGACTAATATTTGCTTGTCATACTATACAAGGATCATCTTGCATTTTACTCAGTTTCAGTGCATTTGAAGCAGAAATTATTAAACCCAATAAATTATCGGAGGTATCTTTTTCTGAACAATATTATGGCCAACATCCTGGATCAGGAGGCATAACTATGAAGTCTCTCATACAATTACACCAAGCCCATATTTTCTTGCAGCACCCAGTTCCCTTTCTGTACCAATGGGGATCAAGCTACCATCCTATGATTGGAGAAAAGGTGATAGGCACCTGCAAGGACTATGGGAATCCTCATCTCTCATCTCTGCCCCCTCCACTGGTCAGGAAATGGCCATATTGGGGAGGCTTACCTGAGAAAAGGTAGTTTAGTGGGGAGTTTGTCATTGCGTCGATGATAACGAATTCTGCAATGACAAAATACCTTTTTAATAAGATGAGTTTTAGGGGATGTGGAGTAATTTACTTCTCATTTGTTACAAACCTATGTGTAGATCTACTTATTTACTTGCAAGGATTAAAGAAATGTAACAGACTTTTTAGGGTGCAATCTATCAGATTTTGAAGCAGCAAAATTCACACTGAATACATACATGAACCCAAAAGCCCACATCTCAGAAAGGGAACATATAAGGTTTTTTTTAATGGGACTGACTCACCAAAAAGCATCTAAGTAAAATAACATAAGTCATTGTTAATGTACTAATGCGAGTAACTGAGGCAGCAGAATCGGCCTACTTCCTATTTCCCACTTCCTTCCTGAATGCATAACAACTAGGGGTGGTGGTCATGGACACCTCTTCATCATCTCAATGATTGAACTGCTATCCTGGGATGCAAGCAGAAGAAGGAACTAACTGCACCACTTGGTTAAGCATCTTGTGATGCTGCTGCTTCGTTCATGGAACATTAGCATGCAATTATAATACAAACCTGGTAGCATAGAGGTTCACATAAATGAAATCCTAGTTTTGAATTTATCATTAGACCCATATTGCAGGAGGCATATGAGGGATTATGGATTCTGTCAGCCTATAAAGTACAATGTCCTTGCAAACATTTTGTTGTAGCCAATTAAGTCTTGCAACAAACTTTTATTATAGTCTATTGTTATTTCAATTTTCTGATGTTTGTGCTTTTTATGTAGTGTATATGTGGGACTATAAAAAAAATTGCAACTTTGTGGCAAATAATACAATAGAGATAGGATGAATACATGTGGAATCAGGGGACATCTACCATATTCCAGAGACCAAGCGTATTTGTTGAGAAATTACAGAGAAGCAAAGCTAGTACACATTTTCTCAACAGCTCAATAGACATGATATAATATATCTAGCAGTGACTGAGAATTTTATTCTTTAATACTGTAGTTACTTGGGTTTGCCACCTCTCTCCTTCGTTGTTTGTTTATAAACTATCCCCTACTCAAAAGAGATTTTGCTGCAATTCATGATGCCCACTACCTTTTTTGCATTACTGCTGTCAAATTCCAACTCTGAGGCTTATCCTCCTAAATTGGAAGTGACACTAAGGCCTCATCTACATGGTAGACTTGTGCACAGATTTGGAGTGGTCGGTTCCTTTCGGCCTATCCTGCTTGTCTGTAACGGTAAGGGCTCAGCCGTCGCGGATTTTCATCCGTTACAGGATCACATGGCAGCCAATCACAGTTCTTCCTCCCCTATTCGGTACCACGCGGTGTGGAGAGGCTGCCACATGCTGCTTGCATGGGGTTTCCCTGTGAGCTCTGCCTGTTGGGCCAATCAGAATAGAAGAATGCCATGACATGTCTTATGAAAGCAGTCTCTAAGGAAAGAGTTCCTTAACCCCATTCTTCAAACCCGGACTCCCTTGAAAGGAAGATAGGAAAGAGTCCCAGGAAGGATTCTTCCTTAACTCAGTTCTTCAAATCCAGACTCCCCTGAAAGGAAGATAGGAAATGGTCCGAGGAGGGGTGCTTCCTTAATCCTGTTCTTTAAACCCATACTCCCTTGAAAGAAAGAAAAGAAAGAGTCCCAAGAAGGATGCTTCCTTAACTCTCTCACTCGAACCCAGGTTCCCTTGAAAGAAAGAACGGAAAAGATCCCAGGAACAGAAAGGGGAGCCTTGTAAGTTCCCCATTCCCACCAATGAGCCGAATCTTCCTGGATCTTTTGGCTGCAGACTAGAAACACCTGTTCACAACCCGCCTGTTTTCAGAAGGTGCGTGAAAACGGATCGGTGGGTCTCCTGAAATTTGGCCAGCAGAAACAGTTCATGGTTCAGCTGAAATACACAAACCTACTACAAGGGTCAGTAAACCTCTAGGAATGAAAATTTACTCCTGAAAGAATTATCATGGGGAAAAAGTCTCCACTGAAGCTTTATCTCCAATTTTTGTTCCCACGACAAGCCATTTTTCTTTTCAAAATCCAATTATCACAGGAACAGAGAGTGAAGTCTTCTGAACAGGGGCAAAGACAGCAGAACAAACACCAAAAGGGTGTTAACCCTTCGCTATCTATCCAAAGTGCCTGTAAATTGAATAATAGCACAATAAATGATACCAAATAGCGAGCCTGCAGAACAGCAATGATATATGTGGAGCAATAGAGTAGCAAAGGGCTAATACCAAGAATATATTTTCCATTCATCAAGTTCCAAGAAAAACCCACGGTTCCAAAGGAGCTGAAGTATTTAATACTGCATTCAACTGTCTATGCGAACATCTACAACAAAGAGTGAGATGTAAGGCAACTCATCACAGTTAAAAAATATAATGACACAAATAAGACACTGTACTGTACAACTTTTATAGAAGAAAAAAAATCTAATCTTTATTGACAAGTTTTCCCAAAGTTATTAACAGGCATATATGCATATAAAGCCCTTAGAAATCATCCCCAAACCAAGGGAATTCCAACATCTTAAAGATATTTTTAATTTAAAAAATTATACTGGAAATATAATTTCCAATATTATGTAAACATTTTCCAACATTTGAGAAGTCTATGAATTCTTTGGATTTGTTGCAAGCTAAAAATGCTTTAAAATGCTTTACAAATTAGCTGGTTTCCATAATTTAAATTAAATCTGTAAAAGTTTGAAGATGATGATGTTACTATTGATAAATATCTATTTATCAGTAGCAGATTTTACATGTTTTGGCCAAAAATCCATTTTTGGAAGAGATTTGAGGGATCACATGGTACCATACTAGGATGTTCCCTGTTTCCTGTAAGACACATGTTTAGTGCTGCGTTGTATAACAATTGGTCCTAGAAGATGAGAAAAAAAATGTTAATTTTACTTCTCTTCTAAAATGATCGAAGTTAAATTGAAAACTTCCACATGTTTATCCCTACTATAATATTGTGAAGCAAGTGGTAAGAGACCTATATAATTGCATGAGAATTTGAAAACAAATCCTTCCAGTTCCAGTTGTATATATTATCCAGGATACTTCACTAATCATCTACTTTTGCCTAATGCAGTACTAAAAGATGCATAAATCTTTTCTTATTTGGACGTAATGCCTGTAGTTCCAAATATGTTTAATTACATTTCAAACAGACTGTTTCCTTGTAACATAAATAATTTAAAGGGGGTTCAGTGATACCTGGAAACATGGATCAATGGGAGGAGGAATCATACAGCATTCCAGATACCCTCAATCCTTCCATATGTTGGACAGTGAGACTAGTTACTATGAAGATACATTCTGGGATGGCTGAAATTGTAATCCACTTATGTGGGGTTCCTTCCCGTTAGCCCAACAGAAGTCGATTACCTGTATTTACTCGAGTATAATGCTCCATTGAATGTAATGTGCACCTCAAATTTGAAGGTGCGTATTGCAAAAAAATGGATCTGCCCTGAAATGTAATGAACCCAACACCGTTGGCATAACACATAAGGGAGGCAGGTAGTATAAATGAGGCCATTTAGGAAGTCATGCCGCTCCGTCAGGCTGAGGTGGACAAACTCACCAGCCTTGCACGATCCCCAACTGGCCTCATTCATGAGTATTTCAAAACCAAGGAGGTGGAGATTTGAAAGCTTCATGAATGAGGCCAGTCAGAAGCTGCATGGGGCTGAGCTTTGGGGGAGGGTGGTTGAGAAACCCTGATGGCCACTCGGGAGGCAGGATACAAGGCTAAGCAGCAGGAATGAGTGGGTCATCAGTCAAGTACTTCTTCTATGAGTGCCATGTAGCTCTGAAGCTGTCACCACCATCGGGAACAGCTTCTTCACACTTCTTCACCTCCCTATTTGGCCTCTGGGGTTTCGAGTTCCTCTGGGCTTTTTCAAGCAGGTGGGTTTATGTGCATGATTCTAGCACGCCATCAAGTCTAATACGCACCTCAATTTTGCCCAAAAAGATGAGGATTAGACTCGAGTAAATATGGTACGCTTCCTTGTCATCCCGAGAATGCAACTCCCAACATTGTCACCAACCAATATTGTTGGCTAGGGCTTGCTGGGATTTGGAGGGTCACATGATTCCCTCCCTAATTTAAAGTAATATAATTAGGAAAGTAAAGGGTCAATAAAAGTAAGATGGGAAATGGAGGACTACCATTTCTTCCAGGAAGTTTTGCAAGGGGGAGCTAACAAGGCAAAATATTTGAAAGCCAACCAGTCAAGTCAAAACTTAACTTGAGCAACAAAAGCAAAACATCACCCCACATTTTGTTATTTTAGGAAATGGTAGAGAATAGCTGGAGCTACTTCGCAATGAAGTGAAGCAGAATGGTAAATATTTCTGAATCCACTTTTTCCAGAAAAATACAGTAATTCCCTTTCTGCTATAAATTATATTGACATGAAGAATTCTCAGGAACATCCAAGGGTGATTTTGTATGTGGTATGACTTGAGTTCCATAACAAAAACAAATGACTGCCTCAGTAATTTTAAACCTGCATATTTTTTGCACATGCCTCTGGCTGGTGGGCCTAGTAAAAAGAAATAAACACACTCACCAACAAAGTTTCTGTAACTCTGATATTTGCCCATCTCTGAATTCATTAACTTCTAGTTACAGATATCAGCACATTCGGTTTGGGCAGACAGAACTGTTTTAAAAACGTACCTCTCTGATCTCCCATTTTTCTTCTTTAGGAGTCCTGCTTTTGTTTCCTTTATAACCGCACTCATTAAGTTGTACAGCTCCTTGAGAAGCATGTAGGCATAACTCCTTCTGGATGTTGTGTCTAATTTCATGGCGTGCAGTATATTCGAAGTACTATGCAAATAAATGTAATAAAATAATTACCTAAACACTATGCATATTAATTTTGGTCTCCAGATACCAGATTCAGGTTTAGATACCTGAATGATGTTTCACAAATGGAATATTCATAAGTTTGCCACATATTGCTAAAATAATTATGGCATCTGGTAAATATAACAGAATACAAGAACAGGCCATTTAAGATGGATATGGATATTGAAAATGTACAATTTGTTTCATTTCATCCCAATACATAAAACAGAGGAAGTGGGTTGAGAGAATAACGGGGTGAAAAATGTGTGTGATGACTAAAATTCTGAAAGTCATATATTTATCATCTACAGCAGTGGTTCTCAGCCTGTGGGTCCCCAGATGTTTTGGCCTTCAACTCCCAGAAATCCTAACAACTGGAAACTGGCTGGGATTTCTGGGAGTTGTAGACCAAAACATCTGGAGACCTACAGGATGAGAACCACTGATCTACACTTTTTGAAGAATACAGTATAACAAAGCTACATAGTAATTCTGAATAAAAAGATGTAATCAAAACAAAAATTAAGTACTTTTAAGGCCCGGTGATTTCAAAGTTGGCATTTGCTTTTTGTCATTGAAATTAATGAATTCTTAAATGCTTAATGTTTGATGCAACATACTCAAGATGTCTATAAATTATAAGAAATAAAACTAGGTAGCTTAATGTCATAGATCAGCAAGCCATTAATGCACAGTGAAATGTAACATGATAAGGACACTAGAACAGCACTATGGTAAATACAGCTATACTTTTGTCAGATTGATGCATTTTTGTACAATACAATACTATTGATGTCTTACTTTGAAACTAAAGAGAAATACAGATTGTGCATTCTCTATCTGGAATTCAGAAATCCAAAATGCTCCAAAATCTAATTTATCTACATGAATGGCTGAGATAGTGACATCTTTGCTTTCTGAGGGCTCAATGTACAGAAATTTTTGTCTCATGCACAAAATTATTAAATATACTGTATAAAATTATCTTTAGGCTATGTGTATATGGTGTATACAACACATACATGATAATTTTATGTTTAGACTTAAATCCTACCCAAGACATCTCATTATGAACATATATGCAAATGCAGGTCTTCCAAAATCCAAAACATTACTACTCCCAAGCATTTCGGATAAGGGATACTCAGCCTGTACCAGTAAACAGGAGAATATTCTTTATGTTAGCCAGTTGCTAGATATAGTACAGAATTATTACCCTATAAATGGATTTATTATTTTATCTTTGGTGGGACAAATGACATCAAAACTATTTAGCAGGGCTTAGAAAAGTGTGGTCCATGGACTACATCCAGCTTACCAGATCTCAGTTTAAAATCTTGTTTCTCACCTACAAATGTTTTCAGCCCCTCTTTTCACCCCTTTCATTTACTCTAGTCTCCGTTTAAAATCTTGCTCTTCACCCACAAAACTCTGAACCCCTCATTCCATCCTGGCTCAAAGTTAATGACTGTCTGGATTTATTTTTTATTTTTTCTTTCTTAAAAGTAAAGCCCCAAAGTAGTTCCAGATGTCTGAATGTGGTTTCAGGCCCCAATACAGTTGCCCATCTGTGCTATATAGCATGCTGAAACTATTTCTGCTTTTTGTGCTTATCTGAGAAAAAATAGCACATCCTATGTACCATTGCAGTTATTCTAACGTAACCAAATGTATGACAAGCTGCATATTTAGAGCTAGAAATTTTAGAAGATGCTGGTGTGTTCTGAACAACTCTCACCTTGTCTGTCATTCAAAGACTTTTCATCAGACACTTAGCTATCTAGGAATACATATACTGTGGTTTCAAAATGGTAGCTAGTTTTTAGTAACTTTGATCTCTCAGCATGGGGCTTTTAAAAAGACGGGGTGGATGACTCAGGACTGGTTGCTCAGTCACTCACTCGCATTTTCCTTGACAGTATAGTGAAAGCAAAGGTAAAAGTAGTAGTAGTAGGAGGAGGAGAGAAAGAGAGAGAGTCAAAATTATTAAGCTTACAAGGCAGAAATGAAGAGTGTTCCTTAGACAAGGGCCAGACAAAAAGCTGAAGAAGAGACGAAGAGTGCTTGGCAGAGACAATCAGGAAGCTAGCATAAATACAAGCAAGATGTAACATTAGAGACACCATTCAAGTTATTTGCACATGGTTACAAATGTGGAGTCAGGAAGAACTGGACTGAAATCAATACTTTGAGATCCACAGCAATTTTGAACTAACAGAGATAACCTGACTTTATTCTGGATAAGTTAATAACATGAAATAGAATGTATGTAAAGCGTAGACCAAAAAAGCAACATGAAGAGAACACCAGACTACCCAAAAATAGTTAGATTATTTTAACTCCCATCCATACAAATGGCTCCAGGTTTGTTGTTGTATTCACTGTGCTGAGGCAGAAAACAGACTGTTCTAGTTGGCAAGTACCAAATGCAGCTGCTCCCTGCCATTTTTATTCCCCCCACAATGCCCCTGGTCACTTTTGTTGCTATACAGTGATGCTACTGCCAGGGCTCAGGGACACTGAGGAAGAAACAAAATTTGTATTTGCAGCTGCCCGGGCTCAAGCTATACGTAAAAGAAAAACAGTGGCCATATGGAGATGAGAAGAGCACCAGATCTGGGTGGATGCAGCTGGTATTTTTGGACCTGTGACAGCCTGCCTTGGGTATGGAGCTGCCCATCCATTTCTGTTCTGAGTCTCTTGTGACAACACATATATAGTGTTTGCATATCTAATACTGTTCAACAGTTAATACACTGATATTCTGTTTTACTAGCATTATTGAGTTATCATACCATATTTGATGTCCAATTACTACATGTGGCAGTTTTGTTCATATAAACAATATGTGAGAAATAGTAAAACAAAAAAATAGAGGACAAGGAAAGCTTATATACAAACTAGTAAGAAATCTAAACTCCTTTATAACTTGTTTGTGGTGTTTCACAGATGCTAAAGAGCATCCTAAACTGTTAACACACTGTTGTTTGAAAGGCCTGTTGGGTGTGACTGCCATTGCAAAAGAACAGACTATGTAGCCTAAGGTTACAGTAAAAGCTTGATATCAGCAAAAAAATAATATTGCTAATATTTTACTCATGGGATCCTGATAAAGTTTGAAAGCCTACTTCAAATCTGATGTCGAGGACCTGCTCTAGGATATATGTGATGGAATTTTCTTCATTATTTATTTATTTATTTCGGGCTTTTATAACCTGACCTATCTCAATCTCTGCAGAGGGACTCAGGACGGCTAACAAATCGGCACCCCATGGCGCCCACATCAAAACATAAATACACAATTTAACGGCAATATAATAATAATACAAAACAGTATAAGCAATAGAAAATAATATAAAACAGTATAAAAACAACAATCAATAAGTCACCGGTCATCGGTTTAAATAATCGTCCAAGGGCAGTCCCTCAGTTCTATGTAAGTCAACATGTTAGCAAGTCAGCCTAATCTATAAAGGCCTGATCCCATAGCCAGGATTTTACTTGTTTCTGGAAGGTCAAAAGGGATGCAGAAGATCTAATTTCACTTGGGAGGGTGTTCCACAGCCGGGGGGCCACCACAGAAAAGGCCCTGTCCCTTGTCCCCGCCAGACGCGATTCCGACAATGGGGGAACAACAAGCAGCCCAAAAGTGGTTCCAGAAGGCTTCCCAGCCCCGCAAATCCCATGGTAGTGGGGATGGAAGATAGAAAATGAAGGCCTCCCATTGGATTCTAGGCTTTGCCTAAAAATGCACTGTTATAAGGACTTATCTGTACCAGCTATTAAAAACAAAATATATGGCATTTACCTGGTTTCCTCCAAGCCCATGACAAGCATACATAATTAATGGTTTGCCACCCTGATTATTTTCACCGACATCCAGACATGCTCTTCTTCCAACATTTTTTAGCTAAATAAAACAATTTAAATGGACATGTGTGAGTGTGGAATAGCATCATCAAATACTATACACTTAGGAAAATCTACTTTTTAAAAGGAAAGCATACTCACAAATCCAGATAATGAAGGATTCAAGTCTGGTACATATGCTTCAGGATAAACATTGTTAAGATACCATTTGAAGTCTTTACATTGCAAGCGTTGTTTTAACTCATGCCTTTTTGAGAGGTCACCAAATGTTTTCTGTTGAAAGAATAAATTTTACAAGACAAACTGAAATAATAGATCATATGAACATTACATTTGAGTGAAAGCAGAAACTGGAGTATTTGTAATTAAAAGTTGGTGAACAACCTGTTAATATCTAAAATTGATTTTGAAGACCACTACTTTTCCATGTTGGCTTGTTTTTCTGTATAGTTAACTTCTGCAGATGTCAAAATGGAGGCCGTTTAAAGGACACAACTATGTCCTTCTACGATGTTACGGTTCCTGTCATCATGTTCATCCCTTGAAAAAAATATATTTGTTTCATTTCTTGATCAAATACGAGTTTTCTGCAAGAGACCTCCTTTAGCAATACTCATTGTGATGCTGTAATATACAGAACAGCCACCATGCTAATAATACATTTTTCACCAAACATAAACTTTTGTTGCTATTTTTGAGAAAAAAATGAACAATTTGAAGACCTGAACAGAAATCAGGAAACTGCTGCAGTTTATATAGTGGCACAAAAACAACAGCATTAGATCTTGCAATGGAGGCCACAGGGGTTCTATTCTATGACTGATGTTGCTAACAAGAAATGTATCTCATTTAACCATAGGGAAATATCCCATACTAATCTAGCCTCGCTAGATTAAACAAATCCATTTTAGTAACGACCATTATGAAAAACAATTTTAATATAATGCCTACTAGTTTTATGCATCACACAAAGGATATCCAATAACTGTTGCTTGATAAAAAGCGCTGATAGCATAGCTAGCTGCAGTAAGAAAATTATGGCACTTCACAAAACGGTTTATAAGTGTTCAACGTTTTATTTTTGTCTTCAAATTGCTGCATAAAGAATCTTATTTTCTGTGCAAAAGATAAAGATTTTAGCAAGAGTTCTACTTTTGTAAACCTCCTTTCTTTTTCTTTTTTATTAGTGGTGGCCTCTTGTTTCAAATCATATTCTAATGTTAGTGAAAGTAATCAAAAGGTAGCATACTATGCACTAATGTTTAACCATGAACGCATATCATGTTCTTCTTAGCGTATCATAAAAAACAATAAGTTGAATACAAAGATGACCTATAAATATGCTGAATATTTAGGGATCTTTTTTGCCCACTAGAAGGGCTGTTAAATATCATGCACTGCAGTACTGTGCAACGTGGAGAAAAACTAAATCCCAAGCAGCTATTTGAGCTAACTATGAAAGGTCTGCATGAATAATCATTTTGTTGTTGTTGTTGGATCTAGCTCACATTAGCCAAAATTACAAGTTATTTTCTAGGGGCTTAGTTAGGCATCTCTTCCTAAATGGAAAATAATACCCTGCTTAATCAAGGACATCCAAGTCTGTAAGCTAGGTTGGTGGCACATCTACTTAAATATTTTTTGCAGCTTTTAACCAATTTTGCTGGTTAATTTTGCTATTATCAATAGTCAAAAAATAATGTATTCACTTGCATCTGTATCTGTAAATTATTCAGGTACATTTCCATCTCAGAAAATTTTCCACAAAATCTACTGAAGTGTTGGTGAACTGTCAAATACTTTTAACAGTATCTTAGTTAGGTTTTAATCATTTAACATTGCTTAGCCATTCTGAATAAAAGAATATTTTCCCACGTGTTTCTTCAATCAGCGTATCTGGCTACTTCTTGGACTCAACGTTTCATATCAGTTTTCCTGAATGTCTTATTCCAAGCAGGAGTTTATCTTCAGAATGAACTGTTGACAGCAGGGGGGTGTCTAAATACTACCTGTGCAGCTGCCATTTTGATACACTACTGGTAAATAATGTTTGCAACATTTTAACCATACTTAAATGTTTATAATATTTCAAACATGTTGCAGTAAAGGAACAGCTAAGTTGACTACCTTGTTTACAACTCACAATACCTTCCCCTGGGGAAGAAACCCTTGTAATCCACTATGGCACAACACTGCCTGTGCTGCCGCCAATTAAGGAGTAGTAGCAGCAGCAAAATGGAAAGAGAACAGTGTAGAGGTGGAGGAAGTAACAGAACCTCCCACCTCAAGCATTGTGATGTCCTGATCTGGTCCTGGTAAGGGATGTGACAGGATGATCCTAACTCATCTTTGTAGTTATAAGGTTGGGAGGGAAGTCTCATCATTTGAAATACTTCTCAGAGGGTGCAGCACACTCACTATGACAAACAAAAATGTGTAAGCCTGACTTTAGCATTGTTTGACATAGCAAGGAAACATCTGTCAAGACTTAGCATCAAACAGCCTTACAAAAATGGTATTATAAGCTAGCTGGGCCCTGAATAGAAGCACTCCTACTATATATTTTTTTTGTTTTGGGTTCCATCCTAGCCTAATTTTTTTTTAAAAAAAAAAACATTCACAAACTGATATACTTTAAGCATCATATCAATTTCTTAAAATGTGAAAACTCTATCATAATATCAATGCAGACCCACAATAAACTGTAGCATTGAACTTCCTGTATGGTGATAACTCAGAAACAGTTCTAATAATCGCTATTAATCAGGAGCTCCACTGACTTAAGAGTCCAGAAATCGATGGTGACAACTCTACTTCTTCCTTATTGCTTTCTTTATCTAAAGAAAACCCTGTGGTTCAAAAAATGCTATTTGAGTAGGAAAGGGGTATCTCATTCTCAGCCCCAGACAAGAGTACATATTGAATACCAGTGATAAATTTGGAGGTTGGACAGCTGAACACAACTCTTGCACAAAATCAAGGAACTTTGGTTAGTGTACTCACTCACTGCCTTCCTCAGTAACTAGATTTCCACCCTCCTTTCCAGATGCATATCTAAAATGGACATATTGACCTGGAACAGTTTAGAGGTAGTGAATACCCAGGCCTCTTGTCTCTACATACTACTTTGGGCAAGATCTTACATGTTTACTAGCATATTGTCAGTTAGTCCTCTTAAGTGTCCCAGAACAGAAAGATTTAAAAGAAAAGTATTGCAATGAAAATAGATTCTCTCTGAAGTGCCTTTTAACTTTGACTAGATAATCATATGCAGTTCTTGAGAAAGATTCCTTAACTTCTATCAGAAAAGGATGAATACAGCCAAAGTTGTATAGAATTAACTGAAAACTTAAATTTGGCATGGAGAGATCATTCAATATACTGCAAAGCAAACTGGATAGAATGCTTTTTATTTTTTATATATTTTCACAATAAATTCTCAATTTCACAATAAATGTTTGCTCACCAAGAACTTCAATGCAGCAACTGATTTCTACTACCACCACCATCGCCACCTACTTGTTTAACAATTTTTGCTGCTTCTGTGTTTCTCCGGTAAAATATGCTTTTATATTCATCCATCCAGACTTCTGCAAGGCGAACCTGATTACGTGTAATGACCTGAGTTCCTTTTGGAAATGTATGAGGGCTCTTACTGCGAAATACATGACCAACAACCGAGCAAGGTATGATTTCCAACTGACCCCCACACTGCCATACCTGAAAAATAACAAATCTATTAGCTTACATTGCACAGAAGCAGGCAACAGTGCTATAGGAGCGAATTTGCTGTGAATGTATTTTGCAAATCCAAACCCATAACAACAACAACAACAACAAGCTTTATTTATACCCCACCTCCTCTCCCCGAAAGGACTCTGGGCAGCTTACAACAATCAACAGATACAGAAAATAATATAGCAATAGAGCACAGACAACAATAAACAATTATGACTTCATATAATTTAAATAATATAATAATATAAACATTAATAAAGAATACTTTTAAAGCTATTTGCCCTCTAAAAACAATATAAATTTAAACACCATTTGAAATCAATCAATTCTGGCCGATAGTAAGGTAATACTCTAGCCATTATCAAAAGCTTGCTTAAATAGCCAGGTTTTTAATGCCTTACTGAAGATTAAGAGAGTGTTTGCTTGTCTTATTTCGTTGGGGGAGAGCATATCAGATTCTTCCTTGTCCCCACCAACCTCACTTGTGAGTGGGGTGGGATCGAGAGGAGGGCCTCCCCAGCTGATCTTAAGATCCAGGCAAGTTCATAATGCACTACGACTGAAATAATACTACTTACCACAAACAAAATATATTTATTTAATAATGTAGTCAAATGCTGACCAAGTCCCAGACAGCATATCTACCAGTACAATATTTCATCTTCTCAGCTCATCATTAGCATGAGGTAAATATAACTGCAAAGTGAAGCTGCTGAAGGTTTTGTCTCAAAACTTACTCGGAAAGACATTTCTATGTTTTCTCCTCCCCATATTTCCATTTCTTCATCATAGCTCCCAATATTATAAAAGTAGTCCTTTGATATTGAAAAAAGCCCTCCTGCAAAAGTAGGTGTTCTGCAAATAAATAAATAAAACAGAACAAAACAGTCATTTATAAACTAGCAACTTTTAAAACTCCAAAGCCTGTCTTTCTTTCATCCAACTGAAACAAATGATCCAGTGACATGGGGTATATTATAATCACTACAACAACCTATGTCCCAGTCAGAAAGGAATATCACTCAACAGATAAATCGATCCATAAAAGGTTTCTCATTTGGTCTTACCAAAAAACTATTATCAGAGCAAAATATTATTAGGTTTCAAAACCAGAACACAAAAATGGTCAAATATTACTATAGTAAAAAAAAAACTTGCGCAAAACATTGAACTAATCTAAAAAAAGACTATTATGTCATTATTTTTATAAGACACTACAAATTAGATACATAAATATGTTTTAAGGTATCAAGAAACTATATCTAAATGGCAGTCTGCAATATAAACAGATGTCCTAAAAACAAAATGCTACAATTAATGGTCATTACAAAAAGCAGTCTGTAAGGGTAGCAAGCTTTTTTTTCAGATTCTGCGTCAAAAGTGTGATGCTGATATTGTTTTTACATTTTTATTTAATAGTCTTAGCTGATCCAGCTGTATGAAAAGGAAATGTGAAACTTGCATACAATGTGAGAAGCACAAAGCGTATAAATGAAATGAAAAAACAATTTTTAAAAAATGTCTTTTATATTATTATTTATTTATTGTTAGAAATGAATGGGAAATTGTGATTAGCAAACACATTTCTAATAAAACAATTTGTAAAAAAAAAGAAGTATTATTACTTACTTAATGGGATAGGTTTCATCTTTTCTTCTTTGACTTTCATGCTCAGGAAGAGCTTCCCATCCAAAGGATAAACTCCAGTCAAAATTTCCCCTGTTGTGACTTTGACCATAAGGCGAAGGTTTAGAAAATTCAAATGTATTAAGATCTATTGATGAAATATCAGGGCTTACGACATAAGTATTGTTTTCAGCTATTCTAGCCAACAAAGGCTCTAACCAACCATAAAAGCATTCACCTAGAATTGGAAGAAGATTCATGATTTCAATATTGGATTTTTCCACTTTCATAAAAATAAAGTTAAACCACATATTTCAACCCCTCATTCATCTGTTCTGTCTGTGCAGAAATGTGAAATGAATGGTACTTCAGTGCTGCTTGTGCTTACAAAGGTTCTCATTTTTAGGAAATGAGTTGTCAGATCATACTGTAGTATTCCCATTTTCCAATTTAATGTTACAGTGGAAGGGTGGTGTTTCCAAATATTCCCAGTGCACTACAAACCTAAGCCTGTGATTCAGATTACAGGTTTTTATGCCATTATTTGATGTAGCTCCAAGTAATGTGGAACCAACTAAGAAGATGCTCTTAGCTTACAGAAATCAAAACTCTCTCCAACCCCATTAGTTTTGTGTTATAAAATGAGAGTATCTATCAGAAATGTATACAAAATATATACATTATGGAAACTGTCAAAAAGCACAGGAAAGAAATTAAGAAAAAATCGTTAATATTGGTGACCAAAAACTATAACCATTGAGTATACTTACAGTGTGCATCCAAAAAAGTTAGTGTTTCTCCAGTTGCTATTGAAGCACCTAATAATCGAGCAGTAATAAGCCCCTTTCTTTCCTTTTGTCGGACTACCTTAACTATATGGAACTGCTTCACATACTCATCCAGTTTATCCTGTAAGTAGTCTGAAAAACCAGCAAATCAGTCTTTGTTTAAGAAAAATCATTGTTACTTTATATTTCATAATTAGCCACTTACTAAAAGTCAAAGTTTATCCATTTTAATATATCTATCGTCAGGCAGTCGGCATTTAAAACCCAGAATTTAATGCTCTGGCAGCTGTCAAGCACCTGGAGAGACCATCAGAATTTATGCTAAAAAATATAACTCAATATTATCTTCTTCATCTGCAAAGAAACAGAACCAGAGTCATGCTTTCTTTGAGCAAGTAACATCTAGGTTGGGTGTCCGTCGATGTATTTAGGCAACAGATACTAACAATACAGTCAGTTCAGACATATGCTAAACAATGGTTTAAACCTCTAGACCAGAGTTTCCCAAACTATGTTGAAAACACCTAAAGGAACAGTTTGAGAAACATTGCTCTAGATGTTTTCAACCTGTGGGTCCCTGATGTTTTAGCCTTCAACTCCCAGAAATCCTAACAGCTGGTAAACTGGCTGGGATTTCTGGGAGTTGTAGGCCGAAACACCTGAGGACCCACAGGTTGAGAACCACTGCTCTAGACATTCAAGAATATGATTGAGAATTACAAATGCCGTGTTTTATACTTGCTCATCACCAGATTCTTGCAATTTTTACATTTACTCCTGACTCTGTCAATGCAGCATCCTCTTGAGGCACAGCAATGGCTATTACTATGATTGATCAATTCAGACATCATACCAAGCTAGCCAACACAAACCATGATGTGCAAGCCATGATTTTTAATTCTGGTTTTCAGATATCACAATTAATTGAGATTCTGTATCTAGATGTCCATTAACACTGTCTGATGTGATGTCTGAACTGTATCGAGTAAAAAGAAAACCATATCATCTAAATTAGCAATGAGGTATGATCAATCAAAAAAGCAAAGTTTTTTGTTCAATTTTGTTATTTAAATAAGAGAAAACTAGTATAGAATAACTAATTCCCCCAATCTTTAACTGCAAAAACAAGTCATATACACAGAAGTCACACTGTCTTACCATCTACACTTGCATCATCCACCAAAATTATTTCCTTCAATAATATTGCAGGGGAAGTATACATCACACTGTGAACTGTTCTCAACAGAGTTGACCATGCTTCATTGTGAAAAACTATGATAACGCTTGTGGTAGGAAGTGGAGGACACCGTTTAAACTTTTGTTCAATACATCTGGGGGATAAAATCAGAATTTACATAACCATATAAATTAAAACTTTCAGATTTTTATACTCAGGTACAAAATCCTGTCAATAATTAGCCAATACAGACTAATCAACCATAAAACTACTAATTACAGGATAATAGAAAATAGAATTATAACTAAATGTATTATATTTAAATATTATATTTATACTATATTATAAATTCAATTTATATGTTTGTGTTTGAGAATAATGAATAATTGTTTGAGAACTTGAAAAGGCAAGCATTTCAGGGGGGAAAGAATTAATCTGTGTGCCCTTGTTGCCCACTCCCCCCCCCCCCACACCCCCAATATTTTCCCATGTTCCTGAATCTACTCTGAACAGCCCTGGGTTGCTAGGCTCATAACTGGCTCTGATGAGATCTAAAGTAGTATCTCACAACTAGAAACCATGAAAGAACTTATAAATTTTCCTAATTAATACAAATCCCACCTATAATGCACATATTACAAGAAAAGCCACACAAATGAACATGAATTCTAATAATGTGATTGTTTCCATTACATCATAAAGGTGAACATTCAAATCTGCAAGATATATTCTGGATTTTTGTTAAAGATATTCCAGGCTAGAAAACCATTTCAAGAAGAACTATAAATGTATTTCTTACTTCATTAGTTCATCTTAAAGAAATATGTGAAAGTATTCTGAGTCCACATGAACTAACAGTAGGATATATTAACTTTTCTTAGATGTCGTATATGCTATGGTGAAAGTCAGATAATCTGATTAGAAAAATACCGTGTACTACAGTTATAGAAGTTATGTCTAAAGATGTAACAAAAATGAATATGTATCAATAACTTTAATTACAGTAGCCAAAACATTTTCATACTCAAATTTACCTATTTTGAAAATATTTTGCATATTCTTCTTAAAATTAAAATATATTCGCTCTAAAATCCAAATACTTTTTAACATACTCAGGAGGTCGTGTGTCTGGTCCCAGATCCCGATGTAATGAAATCCTGTCACTTGCAAAAGCATTAAAGCAATGCTTTTCAAACCCACGTTCATTCTCCTTCTGCTCATCAGGACTTAAATTGATAGTTTTGAATGGTTTACCAGAAGCTCCTGGAGCATTAGGATCCTGAGGAGGACGTTCTAGGTGAGATTTCAGTTCTGCTATTGTATAAGATCCTGGCAAGCAACGTTTTGGTCCAGCATTTTGAGTTTGTCTAATAGGCGCTTTAATCTGCATTTTTGGCTTTACAGCTTTAATATTGTTCACAGCTTTTAAAACTAGGCCCAGTACATTACTTCTCTTTCCGTCTTTTGATAGTATTCCTGGTTCTTCATTGAAATCCTGAACGCTTACTTCTCGTTGCAACAAAACCAAAAATATTAAGAAGATAAAAATAACGAAGGTAAACTTCCAGAGTTTTCCCTGGGACAACTGTTTTATTACGAATCGTCTTAGCTTTTTTATATAAGCTGCCATCATGGAGAGTCTACAGAGAAGTGCTTCTTATAATGGTATTCTTTTTTTCATGGAGGTAGTTAGGTGGCAAATGGTATACCTGCAAGATGTTTGAGGAAAAAGGAATGGTGTTAACACAGCAATTATACAAATGTACATCAATGTTCTTAAGAACACTCATGTCGATTTACCTGAACATGATCAAAAACATACAGAAAACAGGATAACAGTCTATGCTGAAATGCCGCCCCTGGTTACACTGTATAGGAATTTTTTCATCCCCTAAAGAAATCCCCGGGTCCACCCAATAATTGGTTTTCCACCAAGGTGCTCATCTACCCTTATGTTTCCTTCTACCTACGGAAGAGATTCTAAGAGAAATGTCACCTGTAACATTTACTATATATACTTGTGTATAAGTAGATTTCTTGTGTATAAGTTGAGGGCAGTTTTTGTATCCAAAATATAGATTTTGATATGACCTGTGAATAAGTCAATCATCATTCCACAGAAAGGGGAAACTGCTACCACTGTCTATGGAGACCAGCTATGGTTCAGCACCACCCCTTTTCTATCCAAATATTTAAAACAGCCTATACAGGAAAGGAATTTAGAACTTAAGAATTGAGAACTACTGTATCCATTCTCCCTAAGGATGTGTGTATCTATTCTCCCCAAGGATACCCCACAATTTTCAATGTGAAAAAACCCATACTGAAAAAAAATGTACTCATAATAGTATGCTTTAATCAGAATAATTTCAATTCTTCAGACTTAATTTCTGCTCCTACATTGGGTGCAAGAATTGGAAAGGAAAAATAAATTGTTCGTGTATTCATTCAATATTATATGTTTGGTTACGTCCCATTTGGAGAAAGGAGAGAACAGACTGCACAGCAGGGATACATATTACTGACGTTGGTTCTCGCTACCATCCATCAGGTTGACAATGTCCAGCTTTTAAAAACAGGAAAAGTACTAATCAGCATTTTATCCTTTCACATTGATTTTGAACCTTGTGGCTTATTTCCTACCTTACTCCTCCCATATTCCTATCCAAATGCACCTCCCTCTATGAACTATTTTGGAGATAAAGATCTTCTGGGGATGCCCTGCTCTCCGTCCCACCTCCTTTGCAGGTGTGGTTGATGAGGAAGAGAGACAGGGCCTTCTCATTGGTGGCCCCTTGGTTGTGGAACTCCCTCCCTAGCATCATCAGGTTATCCCCTTCACTCCTGACCTTTAGGGAAAAAACTGAAAACGTGGATGTGGGATGAAGGTTTTGGATAATTGATTAGTGCACCACGTAAATATGGAATGGTGCGATGATAACTTGAATGACCTGGACTACGATATTGGATTGTGTGATTGTAATTATTTTAATGTTTAAATGTTTTAGTGGGTGTTTTAATGTATATGTTTTTATTTTCTGGTTATGTATTGTATGGCATTGAATTATGCCTTTATGTGTGTCACTTTCGGGGTGAGAAGGGCAGGATATAAATATGGCAAATAAATAATAAATACGAGCCTGCCAGAATTTTGAGTTCCTAAGAGAAGATCCCAACACTTTACATATCCCAACACCTTGTGAAGTTGCATTTAATTTTTGAGATTGTGTTTTTATTTCTAAAATTGGATACTAAGAATGTTTTATGTTGTTTTCCAGAAATTTTTAAGTAGGTTGATGTGGGCCGGGAGAGAAAAAAAAATATTTCAAACAAATGCAGTTGTACCGAAATACCAGTCAGGGCTGGGTTACATTTTTTTAAATCCTTAAGTATGAACATCCCTGGAATTATATTCATAATTTCCCCAAAGAAAGAATATGGCTCAACCATAACTTTGCCTTGAGAGACAACATTAGTCAAAGAAGCAACCAAGAGACCAAACAACGATTGCTGTCAGTGGTTCTCAACCTGTGGGTCCCCAGGGGTTTTGGCCTACAATTCCCAGAAATCCCAGCCAGTTTACCAGCTGTTAGGATTTATGGGAATTGAAGATCAAAACATCTGGGGACCAACAGGTTGAGAACCACTGGAAGGTGGGAAGATCTGCAAGGTCTGATATGGAACAAACCTTCCATGGGAGAAGCATCACTCACACAGTACACAAAGCTGGGTTTATGGAAGGATGAAAAGAAGAAACTTACTAAAATTAACCTGTCAAAACTTGTTTGGTATTTACAAAAAAACTGCATGTGGAAGATACAGCAAACAGGTGGACAAAGGCTTTCTGCTCTGAGGAGATTCTAATATAACCTTGTGGCCTTGTTACAAAATGCTGTGTATAGCCCAAAGCCAACATAGTCATGACCTTGAGAACACAATTCCCATGTTGAAAAATGGCAGTGAAAACATCATATTCTGGGATGCTTTTTCTTGGCAAGCACTGATATGTTTGGTTGCTGTTTTCCTGGTCGTATTTAAGGAATCTCCAATACCAAGTCCCAGAAGCACTTTAGTAGAACTAAGATCGCTGCACACTGCACACTGCACTGACCTTATAATCCTACATACCTCCTGCCACATCAGCACTTTTAATCTTGTACCCATTACTCAGGCCCGGCCCAGTTTTCTAGTGTCTTGATGTATTGTTTATTGCTTGTTGTTTAATATTGCTTAACTGTTTTTAATTTGCTTTAGGTGTTGTATTGTTGTGTTGTGTTTTGAGGCCTTGGCCTATGTAAGCCGCATCGAGTCCTTCGGGAGATGCTAGCGGGGTACAAATAAAGTTTAATAATTAAAAAAATAAATAATAATAACACAATAAAATATGGAATTGTGAAAAAGGAGGGGGAGTTCCACAAAGCATTGCGCCTCTTGTGGCAAAAGCCTTACTGAAAAAAGCCTTACTGGATGTATTGCATATTACTTACAAATAGTAATGCATATGGTCATTGCTTTGTATATCAATATTGTTTTCAAGATTTTAGGCACTTGCCTTGTAATGAAATATTTCAGTCAGGAGATAGCACCGAAGGTTTGGAAAGGCTAGAACTCCAACCCATATCAGCATAATAAAACATAACAAGTAAATTATATGATTTTATTTATATTCTGTCTTTGCCCCAAGACTGAGATTATATATGTCTACAAGTCTGTTCTAAGTTTTTGGTTCACCAATTAAATCTTTTAAAAATCAGTTTCCTTGTAATAGATCAATTGTGACATAAGCTGGCAGGGCACACCATCGCAAATTCTGGAAACATCCTTCCTACAAGCATAAACTGCCCCTTTGCTATGAAGCTTAATGTAGCGTCAGAACAAGACATGGAATTTCCAGGTGAGGTGTAGGAAAGTCAAGTACAATTATACGCACCTCCCCCTTTATGTCAACATCTACTGTTTGAGAAGTGAGACCTTCCACATCATCGCTGGCAGCAGTTCCTGGAAGCAGTTCCTGGAAGGGTTAAGGTGGCTCGGACTTGCCTTCCCACACCCATGAAACTTTTTTCAGAGCACATAAAACCACCATTAGGAGCTGGCTCGGGAAAACCTTTAAAATAAGAGAAAAAAGCAAGGACATGGACTTCAGCACCATTAGTAGTTTTGACAGAAAGGAAGCATGGCTCCTTTCTGTCCTAGGCAACAAGAAACTACATTTACCCAGATCATGTTCAACAGTGTACAGCCCACTCTCAGTTACCTGGCACTAAAGCAACCAGTACCCTTAACCCATTGGTAAAAAAAAATAATAAAAAAAATCAAAGAAATAGTATTTTAAGAGAGCTGTTTTGTAACACAGTAAAACTGTATTACATGAAGTCTAGTTTATCTTTATTTGCTTTTAATTAACACATTTCAATATTAATACTCAATCAATACAGCGTTTTTAAGGTATGGCATAGAGTGCTATTTTTAACAGTAACTCTCAGGCTAACAGAAACTGCATTTATCTGGCATCTACCAATCCCCATGGGTGTCAGTTAACTATTCTCCAAAAATTGTCATTCAAAAGATATATGCAAAATAAGAAAATTTGAAAAAAATCCCAAATCCAAACCACTGTGATCACTAGATAATGGGATACATAATAAATCACAGAACCATAGGATCCTATAGTTGAAAGAGACCTTGTGGGCCATCCAGTCCAACTCCTTGCCAAGAAAGCACTCCCAACAGATGGCCATCCAGCCTCTGTTTAAAAGCCTCCAAAGAAGGAGCTCCCACCACACTCTGGGGCAGAGAGTTCCACTGCTGAACAGCTCTCACAGTCAGGAAGTTTTTCCTCCTCATCAGGTGGAATCTCCTTTGAAGGCACTGTTCTATGTAATAAAGGAAAATAATAAAGGAAAATCTTCGGGTGGGGTGGGCGGGGGAGATAGCCGTGCCAAGGCTGGAAGCACAATCTTCCCTCTTCCTCCTCCTCCTCAAGGGGGTCAAAAGCCAGCACCCAGGTCTGTCTCAGAAGTGATGAGATTTGTGTGTGTGTGTGTGTGTGCAGAAAACCGGGGTTCAGGAAGGGGTGGCTGGTGGAAAGGGAACCCAGGTATACAGTTTGACTTTCCTCAGTTGAGCCCATTAGCAATGTGCGTAATAGACTGTGTGTCTTGTCATGGGCAAAATGCAGATGTTTGGAGCAGCATCTTTCAATTTCAAGAATCGAGACCAATGTGGCTGTTTGTGGGCAAACTTTGGCCCTCCAGCTGTTTTGAACTTCAACTCTCACCATTCCTGACAGCCTACTGCCGAAGTTTGGCCGTGCCTGTTGTACAGCCTGGTGCACAGTACAACCCCGACTTGGTCCCCTTGCAGTTTACTTCCCCAAGCATAATAGGGCATCTTTTTGGGACAGGAGAAAAGATCCTGGTGAGGAGGACTTCGATCAAGATCTCAAGACGTCTTCCGCTGTTAGGAAGCGTGGCAGCAAGGCTGGAATCCCGGTACTTGATCACAAAGGGGAAATAGACTGTTAGGAATGGTGGGAGTTGAAGTCCAAAACACCTGGAGGGCCGAAGTTTGCCCATGCCTGGGAGAGACTGTCATTGCAGTCCTTCTCCTTACTTTGGGGGCAGACTAGGTACACAGCATGTGTGTGGGTCTCCCCTCTTCCTCCTTATTCCCTTCAGAGAGAGACCCCAGCAAAGGAAAGATGCCCCACCGTCGCCTTCCTGCTCCTTGGCGCCCCTCTTACCTGCGCAGAGAAGAGGGAGGGGATGCCATTGCCCTGGCCTTCCTTGGGAAGGGAGGGAGAGAGGGAGGGAGGCGGCGCGCGCGCGCGTGTGTATGTAGATCCCCCTCTGCCTCGCGCTATCCTTCTTCCCTTCCTCAACGAAGGAAAGCAGAGAGAGGGAGAGGGAGAGAGAGGGGGGACCATCCGCACGCGCCGCCGCGATTGGCCGTTGGCCCCGCCCACCAAGGTGAGCCTCGCGCACCAACGGCCGCCCTCTTCCCTCCCTCCCTCCCTCCCTGCGCGCGCGGTCAGGGCTTACCTGGAGCCTTTCAGGTAGAGGGGCAGTGCCCCCTCCTTCCGCTTCGCCAACGGAAGGCAACAAGCCCACGTGCTCAGGGGAGGGGAGGGGAGGGGAGGGGGAGAGAAAGGGAAGAAAGTGGGCCTGAATGCGCGCGCGGAACCCCCCGCCCCTTCTTTCTCACCTCCTCCTGTTTGAGACTCCTTAGCAGCATCGCCTCACCAACACAAATGCGCGCGCGCACACACACGCGCGCGCGTTGCCCTCGGTTGCTTCTCCTCAGATAACAAGGCCAAGAGTGGCCGAGCTTCTTGTTTGGAGTCTTCCCCGAAGGCCTTTCTTTCACCTCACTACCTCTGAGGATGCTGGCCATAGATGCAGGCGAAACGTCAGGAGAAAATGCCTCCAGACAGGCTTATAACGGGGAAGGGGGGGTGTTTAGGGGTTCAACTCCCCCCCCCCCAATTTTTCAGGTTAAAAGAAAACCTGGTTTACTCATGAATTTTAACTAGTTAACCAAATCCCCATGCTATGAGACGCAAGAAATTAGGAGTCCCTCCAGAACTGCAAGCACTATCTCAAGCAAATATTGACAATTTATTCACACTGTCATTACTTGCATCAATAGCTGATGTAGCAAAGCATCCAAGACGGGACGGGACAGTGTTGAATGCTCTCATTAAGGAGGCCAGACTTGGTGGAAGTGGTTGACAGGGGCGGAGCTGCAGGCTATGAAAGGCTGCTCTGCCCCCTGCTGTGCTCTTTGCTTCAGTGTGAGCTAGGAGGCAGGTTTCAACCCTCCAGCCCCCCAAATTTTCAACCTACCCCCCAATGTTTTTTCTGGCTACAGCCCTGCCTTTAGAACATGGCCATATAGCCCAAAAAAAACCCTACAACGACCTGGCCTTTCTTTACTCAGGTTCCTGAAACATGACCAACTGGGAGAAGCAACAATACTAATTTTTTTTGGGGGGGGGGGGGATAGCTCTATTGCAGGCATGGGCAAACTTCAGCCCTCCAGATTTTTTGGACTTATTTATTTATTTACACATTTATATGCCTCCCTTCTCACCCCAAAGGCGACTCAGAGCGGCTTACAAACTGCACCAGGATGTAGAGTGGGTCATGCGGGCTCTCTGTGTGAATTGTGATCCTGATCCATCATTGTTGGCAGATGTAATGGTCTCAGGAAGGGAGTGCCGTTATTGCAATTCCCATCGTCCATGGTGCATCCTCCTCCAAACTGCACCAGGATGTAGAGTGCGTCATGGAGACTCAGTGTGCCAAGTTTGGTCTTTATCGGTAATTGGATGAGGGTTGCAGTGGTCTCAGGAATTGAGCGAAGGTACTGCAAGTCCCATAATCCATGGTCCATCCCCGGCCAAACCACACCAGGGCGTAAAGTGGGTAATGAGAGGTCTATGTGCCAAGTTTGGTCTAGATCAGTCATTGGATGAAGGTCACAGCGGTCTCAGAAAGTGAGTGATGGATCCCACCACTATTGCAAACACGGTTGATGGGGATGAGAGACAGGGCTTTCTCAGCAGTGGCCCCCTGCCTATGGAACGCCCTCCCTAAAGATATCAGATTGGCCACCTCCCTCTTGTCTTTTAGAAGGAATATCAAGACCTGTTTATGGGACCAAGCGTTTGATCAGTGAGCAGCAAGTGGAAGAAGATCTCACAACTTATGGCAATGAAGTGACCCGGACTGGTTTTTGGATTTTGATTTTAATGGATGTGTCTTAATTAATTGTTTTAATTTTTAATAATTTGATTATACAGGGTTAGTCAAAATGAATAGGCCAATAAGAAAATTAATTTTAGACGAATGTATGTTTATTGTAACCAAACTACAGCTACGTAGCGACAGATAAACTATCAAAGTTTTGTCTCACCTTCAGAGATGTTCGATATGGGCGCCCCGTGTGACACGGCAGATGTCCAAGCGATAGTCCAGTTCATTCCACATCCGTTGCAGCACATCCGACGTAATGGCATCGAATGCAGCAACGTCTGGGAAGGTGTTCGTTGAGGTCCTAACCCTAACCCTAACCCTATCCCTAACCCTAACCCTAACCCTAACCCTATCCCTAACCCTAACCCTAACCCTAACCCTAACCCTAACCCTTGAAATTCTCGCTGGACCGTAATTACTGACATTGTTTTAGCAAATGTCATCACACAAAACGCCTTCTCTTTGCTTGATTCCGCCATTTTGAAAACAGCGACCCCTAGCGACGCCTAGCGGCATTAACGTACATGTGTGTTGCTCAAAAAAAACTTTGATAGTTTATCTGTCGCTACGTAGCTGTGGTTTGGTTACAGTAAACATACATTCGTCTAAAATTAATTTTCTTATTGGCCTATTCATTTTGACTAACCCTGTACTGTGGTTGTTTTTATGATGCTAGCATTGTATGATGCTTTTGTTAGGCCTGAGTCCCCCTTTGGGGAAGAGAAGGGCGTGGTGAGGTGCTGAGTGCAGAGTGCATAGATTGGGATTAGGTGGGGGGGGGAGAGGGAGGGTGTAGGAGTAGAGATAGAGGTATGGTCGAGTAAGGGAGGGGGCGAGGTAGTAGTGAGTGGGAGAGTAGAGGAGTGCTAGAGTAGTAGGGGAGTTTGGGAGTATGAGTCAAGGGACGGGTGAGATGAGGAGAGGAGGGGTGGTTAGGTTTGGTAGAGAGGAGTGTGAGGAGAGAAGAGTGAGGTTTGTGTGAGGTGATAGAGTTCTGATCTCAGGTTAGGTGGAGATAGGGGGAGTAAGGGGTTGGTGAGGGAAGGAGAGTAGCATTGTATGATGCTTTTGTTAGGCCTGAGTCCCCCTTTGGGGAAGAGAAGGGCGGGGTATAAATATAGGAAATAAATAAATAAATAAATATACCACTATATTGTAATATTATTATTATTAATAATTATTATTAGTAATATATATTATTAGTAAATATATTCCAGAGACACTCGCTGGAACACCTCAGCAAGCGAGAGTCCAAAAGTGGCAGACTCAAACCCAGCATCTCAGCCAATGGCTGATACAAAATGAGAGACTCCCTTCTGGGCACACAGAAAACTGGGCGACTTGGAAGGCACTGAACAGACTGCGCTCTGGCACCACGAGATGCAGAGCCAATCTTTAGAAATGGGGCTACAAAGTGGAATCCACGACATGCGAGTGTGGAGAAGAGCAAACCACTGACCACCTGCTGCAATGCAACCTGAGCCCTGCTACATGCACAATGGAGGACCTTCTTGCAGCAACACCAGGAAGCACTCCAAGTGGCCAGATACTGGTCAAAGGACATTTGTTCTGTTAGAAATGTAATATAATGGACTGGTTGCTCTGACACGACAAATAAATAATGTGTAATATAAAATATATTATTATTATTTTGTATTACATTATAATAGTATAAATATTATATGTATATACAATATATTATATCACATTATATTATATTTAACTTTTAACTCCCATAATTCCTAGCAACTGTTAGGCAGGTAAAGGTAAAGGATTTCCCCTGACAATAAATCTAGTTGTGTCTGACTCTGGGGTGTGGTGCTCATCTTCATTTCTAAGCCGAAGAGCTGGCGTTGTCCGTAGACACTTCTAAGGTCATGTGGCTGGTATGACTGCATGGAGCTCCATTGCCTTCCCGCTGGAGTGGTACCTATTGATTTACTCACATTTGCATGTTTTCGAACAGCTAGGTTGGCAGGAGCTGGGGCTGACAGTAGTAGCTCATGCCACTCCCCAGATTCAAACCTGCAACCTTTCGGTCAACAAGCTCAGCAGCTCATGCTTAAACCCACTGCACCACCGGGGGCTCCTAATAACTGTTAGGAATTTATTTTATTTACCCTATTTATACCCCGCCTTTCTGTACCCGAAGGGGACTCAAGGCGGCTTATAACAGGGAATTATGCAATGCCTTAAAACACGCACAATTCAAAAATATTAAAATTTAAAATTAAGTTAAAATTAATAAACTTTACATACTTAAAAACATATTCCATATTAAAATTTTGCCATCCACAATGGTAGTCCAAGCTGTTCTACAGTCATTGCACATATTCCAAATCTGTTTTCATAGCCATGTTTTCACTTTTCTTCTGAAGGCCAGGAGGGAGGGGGCTGATTTAATGTCACTGGGAAGGGAATTCCGTAGACACGGGGCCACTACTGAGAAGGTCCTGTCCCTTGTCCCCACCAATCGAGCTTGCGAGCCAGGTGGGACCAAGAGCAGGGCCTTCCCCAATGATCTTAATCTCCAAGGTGGTTCATAGGAGGAGATACATTCGGATAGATAAGCTGGACCATAATTGTGGGAGTTGAAGTCCATGCGTGCTGTACAGCATATGCAAAGGAATCTTGTTATTTTCAAACAGAGAGAATGGGATTGTTGGTCTAAACTTTCCTGGATTGTCACCTCAAAATCATACCCACGTGTTCTGCATTCTTATGCATTTATGGAAGCGGGCTTTTGGGGCGTCTCTCTCTATACTAGAACTAATGCACTTTGACTTCACTGCCCCTTGAACTCAGTGCTGTGGAATCATGGAAGCTGTAGTATGGCCATGTCATTCTCTTTCTCAGCATTCCATAGCATTGGCCATGCCAGTTTAAAGTGGTTCTGAACTACGTTGATTCTGCACACTAAGTGTACTTCCTCAGAGGCATAAAGATGCCAAACCTGTGAGTTTGCTGATAAGTGTTGGAAATGACAACCTTCATCAGGCCTTCTCTAGCAATCTGTTTGTCTATGATCTTGTTGCTTACTGTTTCTTATATGTATGTTCTGGTGTGCAGCTTTCTTTACTCTGTGGTTCCTGAGAAGTTATAAGGGAGGCTGCAAACCACACACACTCTCCTTTTGACTATGTGACCTGATGATAGCTGTTTTGTTATCGTCCTGAAAGCTAACAAGGGCCTGGCCTGGATGGGGGGCTGTCACTTTTGAAGAAGAAGCTGGTAAAACCACCTCTGAGTATTTGTTGTCTAAAAAAACGATGTTAAATTAATGGAGTCATCATAGGTCAACACAACCAACTCTGGCCTGTTTGGCGACCTTCTTCCTCTTTGACATTTTACTCATTTGACATTAGAGACGTGCTTTGAAATTTTATTGCTGTTTGGAAAAACTAGTTGTAAAACACAGGGTGTGTTCCTGGTGCAGATGTATGCACTAGATGCTTTCTTTAGCTAAAACATGTTGTGGCTTATTACTGAATATCTGTTTCTGATATAATTTTATGCATTTCTTCTTTTTCCAGACTAACTGTTCTGGCTGGAAATGATCAGGGGTTTAGTTCAATACTGG